CCCAACAACAAAAGATTCAAAAGAAAAACAATCCCGCCCTCCCTACGATCCATGAGCCATCACGGCAGGAACGCAGAGTGATCTCCCTTCCTCTTACCTTTATGGCTGCCGACGAGTGCGGAGGTGTCTGAGCTAAGTGCTTTTCTTACTCCTTCTCTTCGTACTGCCATTGTCGTTTGAGTATATTGTTACTCTATTAGTAGTCTATAAACCCATCTCCCAACTTATATTGTGAAATTAAGTATTGTCATTTGTTTATTTTGACCGTATTTCCGGCCGTTTTTTCCTCCACGTATTCGAGTGCGTGACTACTTGTCTCGTTGCTCGGATTTGCGTGAAGTTGGAATTTGTTTTCTTGCTGCTTTGTCGGCCGTGTTGTACGGCCGTTTTATTTATGCAGTGCAATCTTGCTGCGTACGGTAGGCTTTGTGCTCTCGTTCGTAGTTTTTTTGATTGTTCGAGAACTTCGTTTCCGGCCGTGTTTTTCCTCCGCGTGTTCGAGTGCGTGACTACTTGTCTCGTCACTCGGATTTTCGTGAAGTTGAAATTGTTTTCTTGCTGCTTTGTCGGCCGTTTTGTACGACCGTTTTCTTTTTTTTTTTTTGCAGTACAATCTTGCTGCGTACGGTAGGTTTTATGATCTCGTTCGTAGTTTTTTGATTGTTAGAAAACTTTTTATCCTTGTTTTCATTGTTACAATTTTTTTATTGTTTCGATGCTGGATAAAGGTGCCGGGTTTACGTCGGGGGTCAGCGCATGGATGTTCCTATTTCTATAGATAATGGGAACCCCATGATACCTGTCCCATTTGCCGACATTGCAGCCAGACCTCGCTATGTGAACTTTGTTTGCACATGGAGTCTGCTGCTTAGGCTCCCATGCCTTTCCAGCTAACTTTCCGCCGGAAGAGGGATTCGTCCTCTTCTTCCGGTAAGGGAAGTAAGCTTTTTAAGACCTCCCTCCTCAAGTTCTGAACCAGAGCGTTCCTGCTGGGGGTGCTCTCGTTCCACCGAGCTCCGCCCTTCAGCAGGGGGTGGCTCCCCCTGTCCAGGTGCGTCCTGGAGTAGGGGAGGGCAGCCCGACCCTGACTCGGCGCAGTCAAGGGTCGAATTGGCCGGTAGCTCTCGATAGGCGGCGGTGTTACCGTCGGAAAGGGACTTCCGGTCGAGGTCTCTGATTCCTTCAGGGACCTCGGCACGCCAGGTGGCGTCGTTGGTGGGGGCCGCTTTGACTCCGGAACTGTGTCTTCGGGTATAGGGTCAGGGGCCACAGACTTTTTGTCAGGATTGTCTGTGGCTACGGGGATTAGTGACACTTGAGTTCACTAATCCTGGTGTCAGCGCGGGGTCTGTTTTCCCACCCTCACAGGCTTCTGGCTCTGGGACTTGCGTCCCAATCCAGATTTCCCAGTGCAGGGTTTCCCAGGGGGTTTTCCTCCAAGGGTTTGGGGCTTCAGGCCAGGAGTCCGGTTTCCGGTCTCCCTTTCCCCCGGGCTCAGGTAGTAGGGGTGCCTGCGGGCACTTATTCCTGGGTCGCCCAGGCCAACCTGCGGATGGTTTTGGGTACCAACAGTTACTCAGCAGTTACGGGCTTAGCCCGTACATGTCTGGGTTTCCACCTGGTGGGAGTGGCGGTTCATCCTGGTCCTTTGGACAGGGTGTCCAGCCCCAGACTCAGGCAGGCCATCTTGGCCAGTTCTGGGGTCACTCCCGGCCCGCTGGACCGTTCCCACTCCCTCAGGGGTTTGGGTTTTTACCCCATGGGTCTTCACTCGTGGAACCCATAGGGGTTGGTCTCTCCTCTAGGAGATGTTATAGCAGTGCGGAATCCCCCCAATGTTCTGCTACTTCGGGGGCCTTGTTGGCCGGTCCTATAAAGGTTTGCCAGACCTTAAGGACTTCCGCCTCCAGCGCGGACGCGTCGGTCTCCTGTTCCCAGGGGTCGGCTTCGGGGCTCCGACCCAAGCCTACAGCTACGGCTGTTGGTCGCGCTGCGTCCAAATGCCATAAAGAGGAGTTCCCCTCTGCGGAGATGGCTCCTCTGGCGGCCCCTGTTCCTCCCAAGGGGACTTCGGTCTCTATTGAGGAGGAGATGGACATCGAGGGTGCGGGCTCGGCAGAGGAAGACGATGTCATTCATCTTTCTCCTGGGCCAAGAGGGTTCACAAGGGGAAGATGGCCCTGAGACTGCTGAAGCCGAGGCTCAGCATGTGCTTTCTGGGATGCGGGTCCTCCGGGCCAACATCTCCCGGATTCTCAGGGCGGAGGTTTTCCCACCGCCTCAGCATCGTCGGCGCCTGAATCCACCATCCTTCTGGGTTCCCTGGTGGCTCCTCGGGCTTCCGTTCGCTCAGATCGGTCTCTGCCAGAAGGCAATATCATGCCTTCGGTTCTGGCCACGGCCCGGGCTCCGGTTTTAGAGAAGGACTCCTTCTCTACCCGTGCTCCCGGGTTTGTCGGTCTGCAGCTCAGTGTTGGTGAATTGTCGGAGGCTTCAGCTTCCGACTATGCCACACATGATGGGCAGCTGGCCTCTCAACCAGCACAGCTGGAGTTGAGACAGCTGGCTGCCTGGCCCGGCAAATCAGTGGACCAGGTGGTGCTCGATCCCAAAGAGCACCACAGGATGGAGAGAATGTTGCACCTCTCCATCCAAGTTCTGTCATACATAGACTTCCTGACAGTTTGTCTATACAGGGTATCCGATTTGCCTGAGTGTCGGTTATCCGAGACAGAACAGCTGACATACAGGACACGGCAGCCTTGCAGGTTCTCTGCTCGTCAATGCCGTGTTGGCTAGGCAGTTTTCAGTTCTGAAATTCTGCCCAGTCCAGTAACCCTACCGTTTCCGCTTGTTGAATGCCCCCTTCTAGGGCTCTACCCTGACATGTCCCTTTGAATATATAACTGAGTGCAGAATGTGTGATAATAATAACTAATAATGGAAATACTACGGAATCGTATTCCGGCCAAGTTGAATTTTATTTCATCTCGAAATTTCGAGATAGCAATCCGAAATTTTGAGATATTTACCCGAAATTTCGAGATAGCAACGCGAAATTTTGAGATAGCAACTCAAAATTTCGGATTACTAACTCGAAATTTCGGATAACTAAATCGAACTTTCGAGTTACTATCTCGAAATTTCTAGTTAAAGTAAAACACAACGTGGCCGCAATACGCTTCTGTAAAATAAAATTATCGTAATTTTTTTTAAAATCTACCTTTCCCACAAGTCCAGCGAATCCATCGCTCACATGTGCTGCCGCAGATGGCATTCTGACGAGGGGAAACTCTTTCTTTGCAATTTTTGCAATTGTCTGCCATGATGTACACATAGTGAGCAAGTAAAGAAATACATGTATAATGAATAAAAAAGACTGAAATACAACCCAAATAATAATTAAAAATTCCATCAAAATTTCCGATCTGTTCAGCAACAATATCCCTTTTTATTTTTATTCCGATGTTTCAAGGCTTCACGATGTTTTTTTGTTTTTTTTTTTTTTTTTTAATTTTTATTTGTTTTCTTCAATCATTGATATTAATGTTTTTCACAGTGGAATAAGTAAAGCCTGCGGTAGTGTGTCATGACACCTAATAAACAACCGCAAGCTGAGTAGATAAAAAAGTGCACAATATCAACGATCGTGTTGATATAGGTGTCATTACAAGCTGACATAAATTAATAAAAGTTTAAATCACTTTCTCCCCTTCCGAAAAAAAAGAAAGAAAACTTTTTTCACTCGAATTAATGTAGTTCACTTACTCTACACTAGTATTGCACAGTGCAATATAAGAAAAACGAATGAAAATGGTTTATTCGTTAAAATGAAACCAACAAAACGATTGAAGTGAGTCAAAAAATATATATTTTACAAAAACACTTTAGTTGCTGGAAAAAGGGATGGGATGTGGCCGGAACACCTACGAAAACGGGGCCGGACTGGGATTGGGCCGAAACTACTGAGGGCGGATCGACTATGGAGAGGGACAGAACTACTACAGGTGGCTGGAACAACTTGTAAAGTGGATTAATCTAGATATGTGCCGAATGTACAAAATTACCCATGATTCTCAAAGGCTCGATTTACAGTGGTGAGATAAAGTCATGAATATGCAAAAGTTACTGTTTTAAGATGTCGACGTAATCTGAATGATTTTGGCGCGCAGAATTCGAAAATACGTGTCTGAAATGTGGGGAACGAAAATATTCCTCACAAACCGCACTTTCCTCGAAACGTTGGTCTAAAATCAAATGAAATTCCTCACATGCATCTCTGTCTGTCTCTCTAACTCTCTGTCTCTGTCTGTCTCTCTGTGTCTCTGTCGCTCTCTCTCTGTCTCTGTCTCTGTCTCTCTCTGTCTGTCTCTCTGTCTGTCTCTGTCTGTCTTTCTGTCTGTCTCTGTCTGTCTCTCACTCTCTGTCTCTGTCTCTCTCTGTGTGTCTCTCTCACTCTCTGTCTGTCTCTCTCTGTCTGTCTGTCTCTCTCTGTCTCTCTCACTCTCTGTCTCTGTCTCTCTCTCTCTCTCTGTTTGTCTCTCTGTCTCTCTATGTCTCTGACGCTATCTGTCTCTCTGTCGCGCTCTCTCTGTTTGTGTCTTATTACAGAGCCAGCGATACCCATATTGGTTTCAAACAAAGCCAGAAATTAAAATGTGTGCACTGATTCGATAACGTTAAATTAGCATTGTCTCAGGCAACATCTAAACAACTGCCACTTTGTTTGATATATTGTGTTAATCTGCATTTGTCAGCTTTAAGAACCTTTTGTCAACAAACACCTACTCCAAGCTGCTATGTGTTTGACTTAGGTTAAGTTGCAGCGAAAGTACAGGCAAATAGGTTATGATGTTAATACAAAGTTAAATTCAAGGATCAAAGAGACTGAAAACTCAGCACAACCAGAGCATTCATAAGATAGGTATCAAATGAGATATCATAAAATTATTGAATTCTGAATATTAACAGCTAATATGATATATAATGATCCCCCGGTGTCATGTGTCGGTCTGGCCCTTAGCTCTGTCTGATGTTTGCTCCAGTGCCTGAAATAAATGTAATATCATCTATAAACTATTTACACGTCAGTATAGTTTAGAACATTTATCAAACAACAAATATTATGTGACATACGATTTACTCCTACCATTTCATCCTTTACACAGCTTTATTCAACCCACTTGTTATAACAGCCAGCCCATGACGTCACATCAACTGAAACACACTGTCTTAGTTGTGTTGTCACGTGAAATAGGACGCTTATGTAAAACAGCTGAATTCGTCTAGCTTTATGGTATTTCCTATCTGTTGACATGCATGCATCGTTTTCCCATCTTACTGATATAACAGTATTTCTTCAATTCTGTCGACATATCTGTATTTTCTTTGCTGTTTTTATCCACACACGATTCTAAAAAAGGGAGTCATTTCCAACATTAGCGTAAAACTAACTTTTTCTACCTTCTGTTTCTTTCTGCTACAGATATACCTCGAGACATAGAGTAAACTTGAACCTGTGAAGCCTACCTTTTTAACAAACTGTGGTAAGACAAAGGCTGCACGATGTATAGCTGTGTTGTAATAGCGGAAATCCATCTGACAAATTTCTTCATCTGTGTAACATTTAACTGGCTCCTCAAACACCACATCCTGGAAACCATACATTATATCAAAGCATTATTGTGGAGTTCATACTAAATTAATCTACTTTAAGATACGTCTACCCCTTGCGTGTAAATATCACTAAATGTTGAAACTTTAGTATATGCTAGGAAGAAAAATACAACACAAGACGACAAAACCTATCAAAACCCCTCTAAATTTGCTTTAAGCGCTAACACCCCCTGTCTGTATCGCTCAGACGGAAGGAAAATTGTATATAGCAGACACGGTGAGGCATCTCCCATGGATTACAATCCCCCTTAGTGGTCCTAGATCCAAACCTCAATGCCGTTCGATACAGAGACCAGATCCTTCAACCACATGACCTTCCGCTTCTCAGACGTCATAACCTAATTTTCCAGCAAGATAATGCTCGACCGCATGTTGCAAGATTCTGTCCTGATTTTCGCACAGTAAGCAATGTTCAACCTCCTGAATGACCCCGATATAGCCCCGACATGTCTCCCATTGAGCATCTGTGGGATGAACTGGACAGGAGTGTTAGGGAACATAAAAAACCCCAACTACCGCGCCCAGTTGATGGCAGCATTAACGCAAGAATGGAACAACATTCCCTTAAGACAAATTAATGTTCTCATGAGTTCAATGCATACATGTAGGAGAATCTGTGCAGGGATTCGTGCAAAAAGTGCCCACACCAGGTACTGAAGTGTCTTTTTGTTTTTCGCGGATATCACACTTTGAGTAACTACTGGCGACACGAGTTGAGCAACTACTGACGACACCAGTGACGACACAGACTTTTCTTCTACATTATTATAAAGAGTAAACTTGTCCCTTCACATTGATATAAAATTTTGTACAAATTTCCTCAATATCATAGGCTGTTGATCGCATAATTTGATTGTGCTTTTCTTTTTTGTTAAGAATAAATTATGGCTATAGCCAGGCTAAATTAAGATTAATAGTGACTACAGTTGGGATACATAAAAGATAAATGGTGGCTACAACTACAGCGTATATACCACTATTTCTTAATTAAGCTATACTACATATGTTATACAAACCATTGCCTTGATAAATTCTGGGATCTCTGCATTAAGCAATCATTAATCTCTGACTTTTATCGTAAAATTTAATATTATATATTAATCAAAGTTTTTACTATCATAAAAACTGTAAGATTATATATATAATAAAAATTCCAAATACTTACCGAACTTGCGCAACACATGACAAATCCAATATGGCCGCCCGTATAGCTTGGTATTAGGGTGTAGGCAAACCCTACATTTGGAAAAGCTGAGCGTGCAATAGTCAGGAACTTTTGGACAAACGGTAGGCCCATGTAAAAACTATCACCTGTAGAAAATCAAAGTGACGTGCTCCCTATTTGTGTGATGATAAGATTTACCACGTGCATTCTCATTAATTACATGGTAACTCGATTGATGAGGTAAAGGTAAAGTGTCCGTGTGTAATTATAAACATTATCATCGTTTGTTGAGATGATTAGAATCGCCACGTCTATACGTCTCTGGTAACGCTGAAGGTAAACATCACATCACAAAACTTGTAGGATTTTTTTCCTACTTAAATATGATATCGATATTGCAAGGAAACAATAGTATACAACTGAATTCGGCTGAAACCCTAGGCCATATTAACAAATGTTGTGAATTTTTGATATCCTACCTTGTGAGCACGTCACACCCCTGGGGGCCAGGGCAGTCCGCATACTATTGAAATAATCTATCTCAAACAAACCAACAGCGACACCTTTGTAAAACAAATACGGCACCAGTGTATACAAGTGGATATATAACACATTTTATACATTAAACACATTTTAGACATTAATCATCTCATCAGATGAATCGATTGGTGTTGTACATAAGTATTAAAAATTACTTATCAATTAGAGTATATACCAAATATATTTTTGTTATAAAAAATCATTTCTCCCTTGATTGTTCACCAAACATCCTCTATAATCTTCAAATTATCAGAACACAATTATGAATGCATCTTCTAAACACGATATGCATGTGTTTGTTGTGTACGTCCTATCTAGAATTGAAATATGTATTGATCAAAGAAAGCATAACGTCATATTCATGAAAGGATACTACATTATTATATGAGTTTCGTCCATTAATCTTTGGTCTGAAAATCACATCGCAATTATTAATATTGGATATTGTCTGAAGAAAACACAATGTTTGAATGAATCTGAACGTAAAAGGATTCTTAAATTCTTTTTGAAGTGTTTTGTTGCTTGTGTTATTCCCAATATATAATGAAATTTAGAAATGTTGTTCCATTTTAAAATATCTTATTTTAGCATAACAAGAAGATTACAAAATGGCACTATATTACGAGAGTCTGAAGTTGATTCCCAGATCCTAGTTCTGTTTAAGTAAAACGGAACTGGGAACCAGATCCTAGTTCCACTTAACCTTAAACGGAACTGGGAACCAGATCCTAGTTCCACGTAACTTTAAATGGAACTGGGAACCAGATCCTAGTTCCACTTAACCTTAAACGGAACTGGGAACCAGATCTTTGTTCCACTTAACCTTAAACGGAACTGGGAACCAGATCCTAGTTCCACGTAACTTTAAATGGAACTGGGAACCAGATCCTAGTTCCACGTAACCTTAAACGGAACTGGGAACCAGATCCTAGTTCCACGTAACTTTAAATGGAACTGGGAACCAGATCCTAGTTTCACGTAACCTTAAACGGAACTGGGAACCAGATCCTAGTTCCACTTAACCTTAAACGGCACTGGGAACCAGATCCTAGTTCCACTTAATCTTAAACGGCACTGGGAACCAGATCCTAGTTCCACGTAACTTTAAACGGCACTGGGAACCAGATCCTAGTTCCACGTAACTTTAAATGGAACTGGGAACCAGATCCTAGTTCCACGTAACCTTAAACGGAACTGGGAACCAGATCCTAGTTCCGCTTAATCTTAAACGGAACTGGGAACCAGATCCTTGTTACACCTAACCTTAAACGGAACTGGGAACCAGATCCTAGTTCCACGTAACCTTAAACGGAACTGGGAACCAGATCCTTGTTCCACGTAACCTTAAACGGAACTGGGAACCAGATCATAGTTCCACTTAACCTTAAACGGAACTGGGAACCAGATCCTAGTTCCACTTAACTTTAAACGGAACTGGGAACCAGATCCTAGTTCTACCTAACTTTAAACGGAACTCGGAACCAGATCCTAGATCTGTTTAAGGAAAACGGATATATTTATAAAACAAAAGTTCCAAACGCATGATATAAATTTAATATGGTATAGGAATCGAACCCACAACCTTTCAGATAGAAGTAATGCCTCCCATAACTTTTAAAGGGGGAATTGGTTTTCTACGTAACTTGCACGCAAACTCCAAGAACGACAATGTTATAATCTTTAACCTATAACCCCTTCTAAGGTTTGTGATGACACTGTGGAATTCTTGATATCTATCTTAATGGTTATCGGTTCGGTTTCTGTACCGAATTAAAATCAGATAATCCATATTGAAATTTGCCAATGCATTTGTTTTTCTTAAAAGAATTATGATCTGATTCTCAGCTCCGATTAAAGTTAAACGGAACTGGAGTTTGAATGCGAGTTCCGTATAAGATCAATTCCTTTATGAAAGCTTAGGTAGTCTAAATTTCTGTTTGAAAGGCTGTCGGTTCGATTCCTGTCCCGAATGCACGTAAGATCACACATATGTCTTAAATGGAAGTAGGAACTGGAAACCAACTTAAGGCGCCCCCATTTCGTGTTGTAAGGGCAGCTGAATGTGCATACGGATGGTGGGATCTTTAAAATGGTTAATGTAAATTTAAGGATTAGTTTTCTGATTTGTTGCTTGCATGTCTGATAAAGGGGAGAGAATATTCTGTAAATGGTACACGGACTGCAACTTGCTCGAGGTTCACCTCCATCATCAGTTCATTCCAGCAACAAAGCAGGCAATCCTGGAGTATTTCTCACAATATCTTGTTTATTGTCATTGTTTAGGGTTTGTATGATCTTTACTGACCTACAGGGTCCGGGGCATCTGTAATAATCACATCAAACTCTCCCTTATTCTGTTTCATGAACTCTACGCCATCACCGATTAACACACACAGTCTTGGGTCTCCAAAACACTTGGACATTTCAGGGAGGTACTTCTTACTAACCGCAATAACTTTCTGTAAAGAAAACATATTTTGTTGTTATCACCCTTTTCCCCAATTTTCACATGATGTTGACCCTCTTCATCATTTCTTCGGTTCCTGCTATATATATCTCAGTCGGCTAAAGGTTTTTAATGCTATCACATTGTAGGTGAACCTGGGCGTTAAAAATAACATAATGTCAGCCCGAAACCGAGATAAACACTTATTGATTACAACCAAATAATAGAGTATATAGCTATCAAACTATCTGTAAAAATTGCAAAGAAATCATTCAGTTTTTTATTTCAATTTTTCCCTATTATTTCCCCTTTGAGTTACTGTTGGTTAAAGTAAAGGGATACGATTTGCTTTAAATCAAGGGGACGGAGACATATTTCGCCAAAGCTGAGAGATGAAAAGTTGCAGACAGACGAGTAAATACTGGAGATGAGTTAGCATGTGGGGTTTTCCTGACGGGAAATAACTATGGTGACAAAACGAAACGATAAGTAGCTGTTAGATACTTCGTTAAACGTCCAACTGTGGACTGTGATATTGGTTTTTGTCTGCAATCACACCCTCCGTAGCTGTCCAATTTTAGCGTATCTACAAATTACATATCAAAGATATCCAATACCGATATACTGTATCATGGGTGGTGAGGGCTCACGTCTTATTGAAATTAATAGGAGACTTTGAATTCACTGAAGAAGCATTAGCCATTACTTTTTCCTTGCAGTCATCGAGCCTTAACATGTATGAAACCAATACAGTATGAAGAGACAGAAGCTCAAAACAATTTTGACGAGTTACAAACACGTGTCGCGAAAGTCTGAAAACAGGAAAACGACAGACGCTCAATACATTTTAAAGCTGTAAATAACTTTCTCCCTAGAACATATCTCATCCGAACTTATTAATTCTTTAGTGTATACTTAGCACGATGCTCAAATGTTTTCGCATAAAGATCGGAAAGAAGTGGGGATGACACCTTCCTGCTGTTTCGCCCGTCTAGGCACAGTAATATGTGTTTGCTGCGTTTGTTCTGTACATCGCGGATACATACTGTAGAGTAAAAGCAAAAGACTTTGTGCTCAAGCGGAATATTGCATTACCCATGTATCCCCTTTGTATATCAAAGACAATTCTGTCTACAAGAGGTCCAACATTAAAACATGGATCCTTGGACGAGTATGTCTTAATATTTTGAAAACGTTAAATATTTTAGAAAAGATAACTTTTCATTTCCCACTCTGTATGTTTAATACCTCATCTATCTCACACAGAACCACACTTTGGACGTAATGTTTCGGGACTTCACGAACTACGCCACCATCACCGCCTCCTGCAACCAGGACCTGTGACAATGACAAATAAGGTCCAATAAAGGTGAAAATCTCACTGGTAAAAAGCATATACTGTAAGACAAATCATTTGGCGCTATCAAATGTTAGCGCAATATCGATGGTGAAAAATTAGCGCAAAGATGAGATGACGTTCCGATTGTTAATACAAATGTATTCAAATTAAATACAGAAACTGTAATTGTCGTGATAATATTTTAACGGTTTACTTTCAGAACAAAAAGCGCTAACATAAGAGTACCCGCTAAGATATGTTACGGTAGAGGTAACCATTTAAATAGAAAAAACGCAATAAAGACAATATGCAAAGGCAAATTTTACACAATGCAAGGTTGTAAACTATGAGATAGATCTGTAGATTTTTAACTGGTTAATAAAAACTGTAAACAATGCACATATACTGATATCTAATTTCAAGGAATAAAAATATATAGTGCAATTGAAAGCAAAGGAGTATTTCATAAAAAATATCACATCCTGGCTTGATGACAAAAAATATAACATCCTGGCTTGATCACAATTAATATAGCATCCCAGCTTGATTCTAATAAATATAACTTTCCGACTTGATCACAATGCGGGAAATTGAAGTGTTCTATCTTTAATATGACCTTTTTGGGATTGTGATGACAGCTGAGTGGTAAATGTGCTATCATTTCTTGGTAGGCGAATTCGTCCCGCTCCGAACATTGTACTATTCCGTCGAGGACCAGAACATTTCCGAAAGATTTGCTGAAAAAGAATTCCTTGTACGATTAAAATCCATAATTTATTTTTTAATAATGTAATATTATAATCATTTACTTACAATCCTATCATTGCGTTGTCTTCCTTATCACTCTTGTACCTCCTTTATCTGTTTACGATTTCACTAGTCTACACCTTCCCCATCATTCTCGGCCGACATCGACTGTCAACCTTATTGTCATACCATCTGGCAGAGTGCAATCAGGGGCATTAAATCTGGGGCATTAAATCTGGGAGATCATTTACTCCTCATAGGATCTGACTTTTCTATTACATTACGTGTAGCTATGAGTGAATGACTTATCACCGCGCTTATTTTACTAAAGTGATTATATTTTGGTGTTAAACAAACAACACTAGTACATTATATATATATATATATAACTTCAACGATTTTGTCAAGAACTTTCTGAGAAACACTGGTCTGGTTATGAGAAACACTCCTCCGCTGTTTAAACTTTAAATGACCACTGGTGATCAAATGACACCTCAAGTGAATTTATTCAGAGCTTGGGCCCCTTATGAACCTCGCCATTAAATTTCAGGAAGATCCCTTTATCTCTGGCAACAAACAAAAAAGCTAAAACCCAAACAGATGCTACACAATCATGATTCTTTCCCATTCAGCCCGACGGCTTACTAGTTAAATAATATGCACTTGTCAACCTGTTGGGTGCGCGACACTGAAGTTCAAAATTGAAAATTATCTTATCGGTATTGCATTGCACGTGCCTGACCCATGTGAGAGGTCACCATATAAAAAGACATAACCAAGCCTAGACACACGCTGTTTTGTCAGTCAGGGCGCGTGACAGACATTGAGCCAGACGGGAAGGATATCTTGCGGGTCTCGCGTCCGCGATTTGCATTTGCTTGGTAAAGTTTCAGCCATTTGAACTTATTTTATTGATTCCTTTCCTTCGCTCCGCGAATTTCATTTGTTTACATTTGGTTATCAGCTGTACGGTTATGCGTCGTAAGCAGGCTCGCGGTAAACGGTTGCCTTTGTCGGTGACTTTCGATAATTGTGAGTCTGACGATGACCTCTCTCTCCATCCCGGAGAGACGGAGGCAGAGGGGTGTGATGATTTCTTTCCGGGACCCCTTCCCGATTTGAGTTCGGGTCTAAGCGACTCTGTCGCTTGTGCAAGTGATAAGGACTCTGCACAGCCGCAGTCACCGAACGTTGTTCGGAATGACAAATATGGCGGCGTCGGAGGCGATGCCCCGACTGTTCCTTTGCCCCGTGGGGGTAGGAAACGTCCCGTCTGCACTGAGGCTGCCGCTGGTAGCGAGTTTCAACTCATGGCGAAACGTATGAGGGCTCTGGAGGAGCAGTTAGCAGACGTTAAGCGGGACCGGGCGAGTTCCCGTACAGGAAACCAAACGGCTGGTGGGTTAGGCAATGATTATGTTGTTGACAGTTTTGACTCAGATTTTTTTAGTATGACGGACCCGTTGGGTCTTCAAGATACAGAACAATCTTCCATTGAGTTAGATGATATATATTCTGATATTTTACCCACAGAGGAAGATCATATGGAGGACTTGTTCGCCATCCCTGACTATGTATATGGTGATGTAAAGTTGGGCCCTAGTGTTCACGAGGGACTTGCCAAACTTGTAAATACTGCTTGTAGGAAAACGTCGGACGTTTCTAAAATGGCAGAAAAAATACCCTGTACCGGCAAATTGTGCCGTCCTACGATGTAACCCTGAAATTTGGGGTAAACTTGGTAAGCCTTTACAGGCAAGAGATTTTCAACTTAAAGAGGCCCAGAAGTCGGTGTCTGACGGTATGGTACCTGTGATGAGGCTGACTGAGGCTCTTATGAGTCATCCAGACTTTCGAGAGAAGTTCAGGCCTCTGTGTATTGATGCTCTGTCCATGCTAGGGAATGCAGTACATACATTGTCTGTGAAACGTAGGTTTCTTATGAGACAAACCCTCCCGCCATCATATCATGCCTTATGTGGGAAAGACATGCCAATAACTTCAAATCTATTTGGGGATGATCTTGCAAGGAAGGTGAGAGACATTTCTGAGGCTAATAAGGCTTTCAATGTTTTGTCTTCACGAAAACAGGTACAGCGAGGAGGTTGGAGTGGCGGCCAGAGAGGGCGAGGGGGCTATAGCCAGTACAGAGGCTTAGCAAGGCCTTTTTTACGGTCGGGCCAGCGGGGCCGGGGAAAACGGCGACCCGCAAACATGCAGCGAAGTCAAAGCCAGAGCCAGACACAGAAAAAAGAATAGCCCCTAAGGTGAGTGTTCCATCTGGTAGAATCGGAGAGCGTTTAGAATTTTGGAAATCATTGACTGATGATGAATGGATTTTGGATACTGTGCGTGGCCTTACACTTGAGTTTGTAGAAATCCCTGTGCAACATAAATTGCCAGGACCAGTAGCTTTTAGTAAGGAAGAGATGGAGATTGTTGATTCTGAGGTGAATGATTTAGTATCCAAAGGAGCAATAACTCAGTCTATTCATGAGAAAGGTGAATTTGTTTCTAATTTGTTCCTGGTCCAAAAGAAAAATAGTAAATTTAGGCCAGTCATTAATTTGGGGAAGTTGAACGCGTTTGTGGTGTACCACCATTTTAAGCAGGAGACCTTAGATGTTGTACTAGAATCTGTAGAGAGAGGTGATTTCTTCACTTCTATTGATCTAAAGGATGCATATTTCAGTATACCAGTGAACAAACATCATAGGAAATACTTGAAATTCAAATGGAGAGGTATACTATATGAGTTTATGGCTATGCCTTTCGGTTTGACAAGTGCCCCTCGGATATTTACCAAAGTACTGAAGCCAATTATGGCTAAAGTTCGCAGCTTGGGTATCCATGCTTTCTATTACATAGATGACTCTTTGGTCAAGGCTGCTGACAGAGAGGTTTGTGAAAGGAACTGTAGGGTGTTAGCTGGAGTTTTGGAATCTGCAGGGTTCCAGATTAGTTCCGAAAAATCTTTGTTTTCTGCTAGTCAAATGGTCATTCACCTTGGGTACTTGATAGATTCTATCACATTTACCGTTTCGTTACCAGAACAAAAGGTGAAGAAAATCATAGATGCATGTTCCCATGTCTTAGGTCAAAAGTCTATTTCTCTAAGGGAACTTGCTAGTCTCATTGGCTTGTTTACGTCATCTCTTAGAGCAGTTCGGCTGTCAGGGCTATTTTACAGATTGGTAGACAAGGAAAAGACAGCAGCCCTACATAATGGTTTTTCTTATGACGGCAAGGTCAGTTTGTCTAGGTTGGCACAAACGGAGATAGTATGGTGGAGAGATAAGGTGAACAGTATGAATGGTCGGGCGATAAGACCAAGTGATCCAGATGTGATTATAGAAACTGATGCATCTGGTGATGGATGGGGAGCAAAGTTTGGCTCTCAGATAACAAAAGGTCTTTGGTCAAAAGCAGAACGTGAACATCACATATTTTTTTTGGAATTAAAAGCTGTCTGGTTGGCATTACGATGTTTTTGTTCAGACATGTCTGATACTCATGTCAGGGTTGTGACGGATAACGTCTGTACAATTTCATATGTTAATAAGCCTGGTGGAAATGTAACAGAGCTGAATGAGTTAGCAAAAGAGATATGGCTGTGGTGTACGGAAAGAAATATTTTCATTTCTGCCTGCCACATACCGGGTGTTTTGAATGTTGATGCTGATTACTAATCACGGTCAATGCAGTCTTCGGGAGAGTGGTCATTACACCCTCTGATATTTGACAGGATATGTGGTCATTTCCTCAATCCAGATGTTGACCTATTTGCAAGTAGGTTGAATTTTAAGGTTACCAAGTTTGTCTCATGGTATCCTGATCCAGATGCTTGGTTTTATGATGCCTTTTCTATGTCATAGTCAGACTACTTACCGTATATTTTTGCTCCTTTCAGTCTGATCAGCCGTGTACTGCACAAAGTGAAGGAAGACAAAGTAAGTATGGCAATAGTAATCGTTCCCTTATGGAGAAGTCAAGCGTGGCTACCTACTCTATTAAATATTGTTGTGGATGCGCCCGCACGCCTGCCGAGGTGGCGAGACTTGCTATTGTCCCCACAGGGGGAGCCGCATCCCTTAAGAAACAGCCTGAGACTGATCGCATGTTGCGTGTCAGGAGATCTCTCCAGAAGCAGGGCTTTTCACGACAGGCTGCCACACTTGTCTTCTCCTCCTGGAAACAGTCCACGTCCAAGCAGTATGACTTGGCATGGAATAACTGGGTCTCTTGGTGTGGTGAACGACAGGTTGGTGCCAATCATCCCACTATCAAGGAAGTGATTTCCTACCTCACTCAATTGTTTAATGTAGGGAAATCTTACAGTGTTATAAATACACATAAGTGTATGTTGTCCCAGACTTTGCCATTACTAGGCCATACAGTATTGATGAACAATGCCCATTATTTCTAGGTTTATGAAGGGGGTATTCAACACTAATCCTCCTAAGCCCAGGTATTCATCGACATGGGATGTGGCACCTTTGCTGAAGTATTTGGGTGATATGTTCCCTTTGACAGCCCTGGAGGTGGATTCATTGACCAGGAAATTAGTTTGTTTGATAGCACTTACAACAGCACAAAGAGCACAAACATTGGTTAATTTAGACCTTGAACATATGCAGGATTTTGGACACTATATTGTTTTTACAGTCCCAGAACTTATGAAAACATCCAAGCCATCAAAGCCATTTTATAAAGTAACATTGTACAAATATTCTCAGGAAAGATTATGTGTAGTTTCAACCTTAAGATATTATGTGTCACAGACAGTAAACATACGGAAGAGTAATAAACTTTTAGTTTCTTTCAGAAGAGGTTTGCAAGTGTCCACTTCCACAGTGGCAAGATGGATGAGAGAAGTGATGATGGCGGCTGGAATTGATCGACAGTTTAAACCTCATTCAGTTAGAGGAGCGTCTGTGTCGGCAGCATACACGGCGGGGACATCCTTGAGGGACATACTGAAAACGGCAAACTGGGCATCAGCCGAGAGCTTTAGGAGGTTCTACTTAAGAGATATTGATGACCCGGGTTCATTTTCAACCAGTGTTCTGCAGACAGGGCAGTGATAAGATGTCAATGATATAGACTTTGTGAAATGTGGTGTAATTTTGAAATACTAATGAATGAGTGAACTTGAGTTGCAGTTTGGTTTTCTTTTTCATGGTTATCTGGAATGTTGGCGGATTCTTTGAAGGTGCATATTATTTAACTAGTAAGCCGTAGGGCTGAATGGAAGAGAATCCCCCCTCATCCATGTATCACGATGGATGAGAGGGATTCTCTGTAATGAAGCCCGGAGGCTGGAATACCCTCCCAAGTCTCTGGGTTTCTATTTCTGCTGTTTAGTTTTGGATCTCCCACCCTATAGTTGCACACAATCTGCCAACATTTCTCTTTGAAATAAGCGTGTGTCTAGGCTTGGTTATGTCTTTTTATATGGTGACCTCTCACATGGGTCAGGCACGTGCAATGCAATATCGATAAGATAATTTTCAACTTTGAACTTCAGTGTCGCGCACCCAACAGGTTGACAAGTGCATATTATTTAACTCTCCAGCCTCCGGGCTTCATTACAGAGAATCCCTCTCATCCATCGTGATACTTGGATGAGGGGGGATTATGTCACATATGATAAGAATAGTATTTGTATCGTTTTTTCTGGTTACAGCTGATATATTACATGTATAATTTTGGTTGTCTGACGACAGAGGTTTAAGTCATGTGTATATAATTTTGGTTGTCTGACGACAGAGGTTTAAGTCATGTGTTTGGTTGTCTGACGACAGAGGTTTAAGTCATGTGTATATAATTTTGGTTGTCAGACGACAGAGGTTTAAGTCATGTGTATATAAATTTGTTTGTCGGACGACAGAGGTTTAAGTCATGTGTATATAATTTTGGTTGTCAGATGACAGAGGTTTTAGTCATGTGTATATAAATTTGGTTGTCAGACGACAGAGGTTTTAGTCATGTGTATATAAATTTGGTTGTCTGACGACAGAGGTTTAAGTCATGTGTTTACATCGTTTTACCTACTTAACTGTGGTATACAGTTCCAAAACACCTCAACAACATCAAATAAAAAGAAAAACAAACCATTAAGACCCTCATCCGTGCATGACAAAGAAAACATATATCAAATACCTACATGCAATAAATTTAAGATACCATTTCTCTATCATTCTAAACATTCTCTCATAACCAGGAGGACAACATTACGATACTGATTGTCTTCATTCTTAAGTAACCGACAAAAACCCTCGCCTCGAGGTATTTATGCGTCTTTGTATTTTTTTTTAACACCAAATTCACATAAAAAGAATTACGTCAGTATTGCTATCTTGGCGTCAGTTTTTGTCTTGTGACAATTGTACAGCGATCTATGACTTCATTAATACTATAATTACTTTAATTATATCTAAAGTGGCTTTCCGGTTCAGCTTTCATAAAAGACTAAGGGTAAAGCCATTGTGAAGGATGTCACCAAGTTAAGCCATGCATAGAGTCTTCCGCAGGTTTATAGTAAAACAGGTACAGGATAACTTATGCATTATGAGTCAGACTGAGAAATACACAGAACCCTGGTATGATAGACAAATGGAGACGTGTGTTAACTCGTTTATCATACTTACATGTTAAACTCTTGTTAAAATAATTAAATATCGAAAGGACATAATGAGAGATTTTGTTTGAACTTATGTTAATTCATTTTTCAATGGTAAGCGTGGTTACACTTCGGATGGCACAGAACATTCATAAAATATTCCAAACTGCAAGCCCCAATGCCAGGCCTGTGGATGACAGGGTCGATCTCGACAACACAGTTATAAATTAGAACATTGGCCAAGATAAAGGAAATACACATTTCCTCATTATACCGTTGTAGTTGGTCCCCTAGAATCTTATTTTCGTGAAGGTTAAGTGTGTACCTGTTTCACAGAAAATGAAAAGGCAGGTGCTTTACCTCAAAACATCATACTTTTTTTTTTATCACAATTTACAATGTTTGGTCATCTAAAATTTGAAATGATTTTATAATTGACATAAGACATTTCATTTATAACGATTCTACTTCAAAATCGACCAGCTGAAAATTCAAAATCCTTCAAAATAAAAAAAAATTAAACAGCCAGACTCCGAGTGACAATAATTACATTCTTACCTCTTAAATACGAAGATTTCATGATATCTGGATTTAGATTTGTGTAAAACTTCTTAAATGTCATAAGACTGAGAGTATCCGGGCCACAAATCGTTCTCCTCGCGAAACCATTTGCCGTCAATGCGTGCCATCTTTACAACAGAACGGCTATCAGTTGTAATGCCGTTTGAAACAGGTTAAGTAGACAGCTAAGTACAATACAGCGTCCAATTAACAACAATAAAAAGAAAGTATTGTTACCTGTGAAAACTACACGTGTGATCCTTTCAGTGCCGCTCAGAATCATAGAACCATGCAAGGGAACTGTGTGCAACGATCCGCGGCTCGAGATGGTAGATAAAAGAGACAGTCCATATCCACTTCAATAATTTATCATATACAATAACAATTTATGATGCTTATTAGGTTTTATATCTTGTTTACTTCGAGTTTTTAGGTCATATACAGATGACACCGAAACTTTCAAAATGTTTTTTTCTTGTCTTTGTATAATTCAATAGTTTCCAAGGATTTTGACAGCAATGAACACCCCACCTGTCGTTGGTGATTCAGGAGTAACTCCTCGTGTATCTATCATTAACACCTGTTTTACACCGTTACATACTCTGACCAAAATTGACCAAACACACTCGGATCAATGAAATTATTATAGGCAAAAATTAAAGTTCGATAAATCTTTCCCAAATAGCATGCCGCGTTCGTTTTTTTTTTCACAAAATCTTTTCTTCAAGCAACTCTGAGAATGTTCTTTATAAAGTAACCTGTATACATATTAATATATATCCCTTTATAGAAATACCTGTATACATATTAATATATACTCTTTATAGACTTACCTGTATACATATTAATAAATACAACCTTTATAGAATTACCTGTATACATATTTATATATATACCCTGTATAGAATTACCTGTATACATTTGAATATATACCTTTATAGAGTTATCTGTATACATATTTATATATATATATATATACCCTTTATAGACTTACCTGTATACATATTAATATATACCTTTATAGAATTACCTGTATACATATTAATATAAACCTTTATAAAGTTACCTGTATACATATTAATATATACCTTTATAGTGTTACCTGTATACATATTTATATATATATATCCCTTTATAGAGTTACCTGTATACATATTAATATATACCTTTGTAGAATTACCTGTATACATATTAATATATCCCTTTATAGAATTACCTGTATACATATTAATAAATGTAACCTTTATAGAGTTACCTGTATACATACTAATATATACCTTTATAGTGTTACCTGTATACATATTAATATATACCTCTCCCTAAATTATTGTTCGACGATCTAGATCAATGTAATGATATATATTATAAAACGCTACACGTGGCTGATCACTCACACAGGTAACAGCTGTGATATACATGTATACTTACTTGATAATATCATCTGTACAAACATACATAGCGCTACGCCCAGTTGTGTACATTCATATGCATGAAACCTGCTTCCCAAACGACGACGTCCACTATTACAGCCTTTCAGCGGACAAATCTTGCTATATGACATTCTTTGTAAGCCGAAAGATTGAAATAGTGAACGTAAAACCAGTTTGATAAAGCTCACTGTACGGGCAGTCTTTTGTCCCCAGGTAGCTGTACATGATGTACAAACACTATAAATATCTCTCGCTCACAGGGATTCGACACGAATTCCCGATATATATATGTCACTATAATACATCCTTGTGGACCGTAGGTCGAGAACTCGTGCCAAATCCCTGTGTCACTGTAACACCTATATATGGCCCGTAGGACGTGAACTCGTCCCAAATATCTGTGTCACTGTAGTACCTATATATGGCCCGTATGTGGAAAACTCGCACCAATTCCCTGTGTCATTGTGATATCTATATATGGGTCGTAGGACGAGAACTCGTGACAAATCCCTGTGTCACTGTGGTACCTTTATATGGACCGTAGGTCGAAAACTGGTGCCAAATCCCTGTGTCACTGTTGTACCTATATATGGCCCGTATGTCGAAAAATCGCACCAATTCCCTGTGTCATTGTAATATCTATATATGGGTCGTAGGACGAGAACTCGTGCCAAATCACTGTGTCACTGTAACACCTATATATGGCCTGTAGGACGAGAACTCGTGCCAAATCCCTGTGTCACTGTAATATCTATATATGGACCGTAGGTCGAGAATTTTCGCCAAATCCCTGTGTCATTGTAATATCTACATATGGGTCGTAGGACGAGAACTCGTGCCAAATCCCTGTGTCACTGTAACACCTATATGGACCATAGGTTCTAGAATTTTCGCCAAATCCCTGTGTCATTGTAATATCTATATATGGGTCGTAGGACGAGAACTCGTGCCAAATCCCTGTGTCACTGTAACACCTATATGGACCATAGGTTCTAGAATTTTCGCCAAATCCCTGTGTCATTGTAATATCTATATATGGGTCGTAGGACGAGAACTCGTGCCAAATCCCTGTGTCACTGTAACACCTATATATGGACCGTAGGTTCTAGAACTTTCGCCAAATCCCTGTGTCATTGTAATATATGTATATGGGTCGTAGGACGAGAACTCGTGCCAAATCCACTACGTTACAGATGTAGTATTAGAGGTGGTGTTGGTATTCTGTACAAAGACAAATCGCTAATTGTTCAAGAAATCCCCGTGGATAGTCCGAGAGTTATTGGAAGTGAGATTCAAACTCAGAATGGGGAGCATATATATTGTTTTCTGGCTTATATGCCAGCCTCCTCGAGACCTATTGAAATGTTCACTGACCACATAGACCTATTAGAATCGCTTGTCTCTGTTTATTCGGAACAAGGACTAGTGATAGTTATAGGTGACTTAAATGTTAAAATTAAGGGTCCCCGGTACCAATTTAAAGATGACAAGAGATCCACAATTTTCCGATCATTTTTAGATAGAATGAACCTACTGTCTGCCAACGTACAATCAGACTGCAAGGGACCTGTTTATACATTTTGGCCTTAGACGGGTAACTGTACTTGTATTGACCATGTTCTTGTCCAGTCAAATAAGATTGACTTAGTTGATTCATGTGAAGTACTAGATGATGAAGCTATGAATGTATCTGAGCACAGCCCTATTTTATGTTCTATAAAGATCTCACCGTTGCTATATCGGTGTAATGCATCAAATACATCAAATTTTGTGAAATATAACTGGGAAAAAGTCCTGCATAACGGTAATATTAATAATTATATGCTGGAGTTGGGAAATAATTTAAAGTTAATAGAATTGCCTGCCGGACAAATGTCTAACGAATGCATAGACCAGTTCTCCAAAGATATTGTTTCAGCTATATTGCAATCCTCCAACTCTACCTTGCCTATAACAAAGTACAAAAGCTATTTAAAACCATATTGGTCTAAAGAATTGTCAGAAATGCACACTTCGGTGCAAATTAAAAGGCATAAATGGCTAAATGAAGGAAAACCTAGAAATTTCTCTCATAGTTTTCTGCAGTATAAAGAGAGCAAAACGTCTTTCAGAAGAAAACTTCGTGATGCATTTAATAGGTATATGTCTGAACAATTTAATGAAATAGAAAAATCCAGTGAACTTGACCAGAATTTATTCTGGCATTTATACAAAGGTAAATCTTGTAAAAGCAAAACACTTCAGACTGAAATGAAATACAACAGTGTAATTTTACGAGACCCCAAAAATATCGTCGAAGCGTGGGCGACACATTTCGAAAATTTGTTCCATGATAAACCGAATGAAGAATTGGACAACACGTTCCAAAGAGAAATCATAAACCGCGTGAACGAAATTGAAAAGAAAGTTCATAATGAGGTAGACATATACCTGAACGAATGCATTACCACTTCAGAAATTGCCTTGGTGTCTAGAGGTCTCAAATCTAAAAAAGCAGGAGGGTGGGACGGTGTAGTATACGAACACATTAAACATGGTGGAACAGTACTTTTTGAATATATCGCCACCTTATTTAATAATGTCATAAAAAACGAATACATTCCAAAAAACTGGAAAAAAGGCATTATTATAACATTGTATAAAGGTCAAGGTAAAAAGAAAGAAGACCCCAACAGCTACAGGGGGATCACATTATTACCTGTATTTTTTAAAATGTTTGAAATGGTTTTAGCACAAAGAATCCAACGAGTTTTAAATTCCCGTGTATTTCCAAATAGACAACAGTCTGCCTATTTGTGATAGATATAGATTTGTGCAGTCTATGCACATCATTCAGTCTTCAAGAATGTGCAAGTCACAATATTGAATATGGTTCCAACGTCCATGTTGCTTTCTTAGATAGTAACAAAGCGTTCGACACTGTGTGGCACGCTGGACTATTGTACAAAATTTATGAATTAGGATTAAATGCGAAGACGTGGATTTTACTAAAATGTATGTATACAAATGTTGAAAGTTGTGTTTTATTCAATGGGTTAAAATCCTCCATGCTCAAAATGGAACGTGGAATATTACAGGGAGGGGCATTGTCTGCCAAAATATACCTAGTATTTATTAACGATTTACTAAATGAAATAGAGAATTCTGGCCTAGGAGCAGTAATTGTTGATTTAAATGTTAATGTTCCTACTCAAGCAGACGACATCTGTTTGGTCAATACGAGTCTTAGAAGTCTTCAGAAAATGATATCAATAAGTGAAAATTATAGTAAAAGATGGCGTTTTTCATTCTCTGCTGTAAAAAGCAAAATTGTTACCTTCACAAACCCAAATAGTAGAACTTGCACTGGGTATAATGAGCTTTATCTGTACAATTGTATTATACCACAGACTGATGGCATTACACATGTTGGTATCTTATTAAACTGTAAACAGAACTCATTCGAGACAACAGCACGTGCATGTAATAAGTTAAGATCGGGTACGATGTCCCTTGTTCGTTCTGGTGCACATCCTTGTGTTCTAAACCCTTTAACAGTGGCGAAGCTTATCAAAATTAAAGTTTATCTATCAGCCTTATACGGATGTGAGCTTTGGCAATTGACAAAAACCGAAATAATAATGCTAGAAAGGGCGCAACATTTTATTGTTAAATCTATTCAAGGGTTTGAAAAGAGAACCAGAGCAGATATGTGTACATCTTTACTTGGTTGGACCTCTATCGAAGCATATATAGACATTAGAAAGTTGTTATTTTTTGGAAGATTGTGTAGATTGAAAACAATGTCTTTTGTTTATAAAGTTTTCATTACCAGACTATTTTTGTTTCGACTAGGTAGACCATACCAGATCGGTTTCATCCCAGACGTAGTCAAAATATTAAAAAAAGTATTCACTGCTTCAAAATCTAGATACTTTTGTAGAAACTGGAATTTTTCGAAAGAAAAGCCATTGGAAATCAACAGTATATAATGCTGTAATGAAATATGAAGAGTACAATCTAAAGGAACGTATGAAGTTTGATGATGATTTTACAAGGTTTAGAGAAATACATAACCAACCCAAACCTAGTATTTTATGGAAGTTAGCACTTCGATTTCCTCAATACAGAAAATATATACATTCGTAGCTTGACTACCATGGAATTATGTCACAAATGTGGGTTTCTATATCAAGACCCTATGACACATCTAGTGCTACAGTGTATTTATACTTCCGAGTTGCGGGACCAAATGTGGTGGTGTATAATTAATACCACAGATATACTGTTTAGTGTTTATTTACACTCTCTCCCAGACCTTCAGTTATTACATATATTGATTGGAGGAAATGTAAACTATCAAATTAGTGCAGAAGAGCTAAATGAATTCAGGATAAAATCCTGTATGTGTGTGTTCAAGATGTGTAAACTATATTATAATTAATATATATAATGATAAGGATAACAAATAGTCCATGTACATTTTGTAGGAGTCATGTGACTTAACAATTCATTATAATTTACCTGATTTGTGTCAGAAAATTGTATTTTGAAACTCTTTGGGTATACCTTAAAATACCCCCTTTCGCTTAATTTGCACTTGATATGCCTACTCCTAAAGCATTAAGTGTGTATCTGTTATTCATATTCTGTAATCATTTATGTATGTATCGTATGCTTTGTATATATGTTCAACATTCTTCTGTAATCTTCATCTCTGGAGGCAATAAAGAGAATAATATATGGACACTAGTTCGAGAACTCGTGCCAAATCCCTGTGTCACTGTAACACCTATATATGGACACTAGGTCGAGAACTCGTGCCAAATCCCTGTGTCACTGTAACACCTATATATGGACACTAGGTCGAGAACTCGTGCCAAATCCCTGTGTCACTGTAACACCTATATATGGACACTAGGTCGAGAACTCGTGCCAAATCCCTGTGTCACTGTAACACCTATATATGGACACTAGGTCGAGAACTCGTGCCAAATCCCTGTGTCACTGTAACACCTATATATGGACACTAGGTCGAGAACTCGTGCCAAATCCCTGTGTCACTGTAACACTTATATATGGACACTAGGTCGAGAACTCGTGCCAAATCCCTGTGCACTCGCTCAGGTATACAACTTAGTAACATTTTCACTAAGAGCGCTATCCATGTGTCTGATCAGTCACACGTAACACATGTATAATAACACCCATAACATACAAAGCCTTACGGCTACACGTAGGATTATATTTACTTTTTTACTTCCTGTTCCTATTTTTATAGAGTCGCACAAATGGAAAGAAGATTATTTCGAAATGCTTTTAAAACTTTTGTGACAAACAGCATTTGTTTCATAGATCTGCTAAACTCTAAATGAAGGTTGCCTAATTTCTTTTTACCTTCACTTCACCAGAGTAAAATATTGTTGGCATACCGATTTATTACTTTGAGAATTTAATTGGTTCAGATAGCCCGAACGTACCCGTATCTCTCTAGGAACCTTCCGGTGTGCATATATTTATATCCAACTACTGAGGATTTAATTAGCCGAGACAACTCGAACGCACCTGTATCACTATAGGAGCTTTCCTGGCGATATATATCCCCATCAACAGATCGGAATTTAATTAACTAAGACAATTCGAACGCACTTGTATCTCTCTAAGAAGCCTCATGGAGATATCTCTCTCCATCGACTGAAGATTTAATTGGCTAAGACAATTCGATCGCGCATGTATCTCTCTAGGGACCTTCCTGGCGCTATATATCTCCATCAACAGATCGGAATTTAATTAACTAAGACAATTCGAACGCACTTTTATCTCTCTAAGAAGCCTCATGGAGATATCTCTCTCCATCGACTGAAGATTTAATTGGATAAGACAATTCGATCGCGCATGTATCTCTCTAGGGACCTTCCTGACGTTATATATCGCCATCAACAGATCGGAATTTAATTAACTAAGACAATTCGAACGCACTTTTATCTCTCTAAGAAGCCTCATGGAGATATCTCTCTCCATCGACTGAAGATTTAATTGGATAAGACAATTCGATCGCGCATGTATCTCTCTAGGGACCTTCCTGACGTTATATATCGCCATCAATTGAAATCCTTAAAAGATAAGAAAAGAAAAAACCAGAATTTCGAACCAACCCTTTAAGTTGTATGGTGCAAGCAACTAGTGTGACAGCACATATTTCAGCGGGAAGGAGTCTTATTGTTTCCCTGACTTTCTATATTTCCATATCCATACATATCCATATATTTCCATATTTATGTATGGTCAGTGGTAATCTAAGAATACTCGTTGTAATCGGACGGCCTTGTTAGACATGCAAATGAAATTCTGACATAGTTTCAGCATAGATGAAGGGATATTCCACTTTTCCAAAGCCAGTCGTTTAAATACTATAACAGACATAACTTATACCAATCTTTACCATAATTATATGTGCTTAAAGATGAATTGTGTTTGAAATGTATACTACACATTTTTGTTATACTAATCATTCTTAACGTAATCATTATTTTATTTAATATGCATTTATATGTATCACTATTGGAATCGTGTCGCTAGGCCGATGTCATTTTCCAATATTACCAGTATTGTTGTATAATTGACAAGCGAGGTTTGTATTCTAAATCTTTTTGGGTTTTTATGTCTGCTAAATCACACCTTTCGTGCTTTCAGCGGACGAACGATTGCATACGTATTTACCGCCGCTCATATCATAGCCCAGATCACGTGACCCTGAATCATGTGACATAAAAAATGGCTACTAACAGTGAAAATGTATGAGATCGTAGTACGTGCTAACAAAAACCGGTTTAGCAGACGTTCGCAAGTGTGACAAGAGTTGTATGTTGTGGAAGACCTGCTATAGATGTTATGGCCAGCCACAGACTCAGGTAACACGGTACAACACCGATATAATTAGTGAATTCACGGATTTAGGTGCTGACATTTTGATATATCCATAATCTTATTTAGTTAGACGTTGTTTAGTCTGTCACTTATTTCAAAGTCGGTACAAAATATTACTGATAATAATTATGATATTTAAACTTACTTATACGTGGCGGTTATCCGACACAGATGCCAGAGATTCTCTCATAGCCAACGGCATTTGACTCTTCTTTTGTTATAGTTATGGCGGCCTATGGTTTACGTACTTACTTAGTCTTCCTTAGTCTTACTTAGTCTTACTTAGTCGTTACTGAACACAGCCATTTAGGCCTCTATGTTCATATCAAAATCATTCGTCTTAATTGTTAGTTTATATTGGTCGCTTCTGGTCGGTACGCCGTAGGATTTATTTATACTGATATTATGAACCCTGTCTCTCCAGTGTTTATCCAACCTGTTCTCAAAGGTGTTGAGTGTTGGTGCCTGTACAATATCCCCTGGTAGCGAGTTCCATTCATTTACAACCTTTTGAGAGAAGTTTCTGATGTCCAATCTTGATCTTGCTTTCTCCAAGCTGTATGTGTGTCCCCTTGTCCTTTTCTTATGATTTCTGATGATCAAATTTGCTGATGCCTGATTGTCATGAAATCCTCTCACAATCTTAAAAACCTCAATCATATCACCACGATCATGTCTATATTTCAAAGATGGAAGGTTAAATTTTTTCATTCTATCATTGTATAAAATATCTCTCATTCCTGACGAACTTTACTTTATAGTTTAAAATGAACTTTCTGATTCTTCCAGAAATTATCTAGACTGTGTTGAAAGTATTGGTGTTCTTTATACATACCACCTTGTCAGGTCAGCTGTTCCATTCCAAGTTTGGAAACTCTCTCAGTGAAACTGTATTTCCTGGCATTTAGTCTCGGGCTTGGCATATACTTATTCCTAGAGTTCCCTCTCTCTAGCAGTCTTATCACATTGCCATTCTTCATTTTGAAGAAGTCTCAGCTTAAGTGTCGTAACTTCCATTTTTGAAAACTTCAATCATTTCTCCCTGGTGATATTTTAATGTGATTAGTTTTAATTGCCTTAAACATTGCTCATATGTCAGATGGCTCAACCATGGGATAGGTTTTGCTGCTCTCCTCTGAACTCTTTCTATATGTTTTGATTTGTATGGGAGTCAACAATTCACTGTAATTATAAGAAGGAAGATTATGACATGTGACGTGGTACATATTATAACTTGATCATCACTGACTAATCACACTACTGTTATCATTGTCAGAACTACTGGTGAGGTAGGTGTGTTCTTTATCTATGACCATGATGTCTTGAAGCGAGAGGAAGATGACATGAAGGATGCTATCCTCTACTTTTATCCTCCATATGTAAGTGTAGTTTCTGTGGAATGTTATACATCTTAAAACTATGTTTGTATGTATGTACATAAAATCACAGTGGAACATGTTCACAACTAAAATTTATTTCTTTGACAACTTAACTGGAATGTAGTGTATAAATTGAGGATGTTGAAACTTTCATCTTTCATTTATTTGATATATTTATTTGACTAGACTAATGGAGACCAAACATATTTTTTTAGGTATTGCAATTTTCTGTGTCTCTTTAGCTTGATTGGTTAAGCAACGAGTACCTCATAGGCACTGGGTTTGAATCCAATCCAAGTAAATGCATTCCTATCTCTACTTAGTCAAATATCACCCTAATAATTTATCATTATCACTGCCACAAGGAACCATCCAGAACTATTCCCTGTCAATGTTTAAGCATTATCTTTGGTGGCAGAGTAGGCTCCCCTGTTTGCTGGTATACTGTTGTTTCCCTTGACAGTAAGATATCTATATATATTTGTATTACTTCAGGAAAAGGCCAAAATAAATCAAAATTGATACAATTTTACAGAAGAGATAATTATATCTGATATTTTCATAGAAGTGTTTTGAATGCGAATTCAGACTTGTGATTGTTATAGATTCCTATAGATGACCAGTGTTCTGTATGTGGTCAGCTGATGGGTGTGGCTGAATTCCTACGTTCAGCTATCAGTAGGTCTGCACCGTCAATTTTCAAACTACATCAGGAGAAATATTGTCTCAAGCGCGTGAGAAACTACACATTTGTAAGTAAAACAATCGTGTGAATATTGTTTTATTTAATGTCTGAAGTTGAGTCTCAAATCCTTGAAACCTGCCTGTTGTGGCCCTTTAACAGGACATATCACAGTGCATAATCTATCATTTAGAATTGCCAGATTAGAACAGTGTTGTGTCCCTCTAAATACATTTATTTTTCAGTGTATATTATACACTGAGGCTAAACACAAGTTCCCATCCTAGACCATTGTATAGGTTTTATGGTTAGATTACTTCCCTTTTTGGTTAAACATTTGAAAGACATTTGGATGCTGTTTTAGTTGTGATATCGTTTGGCACCAATATCATGTAAAGGTAAATCTGGCATCAAGTGCTGTGCATCAGATTTCTCTGTCTTCCATACGAAAAAAAGGATCCCAAAGTTACTTTATATAGAGTTATGGCCAATGTTTACTGAACTCTATGTTTGAATTACTGATAAGTAAATAGCAGCAAAGCCTATTTATTAATTATCAAATTTAAATGGAGTACTGTCAACATGGATAAGACATCCTTTTGCATATTATGAAATGACATATAAAAAAATGAAATCATAATATATTTCAGTAAGTTAAAGATATTGTATGATTTGCTGAACTTCAGGCTTTAGAAGGTCACCCCACAGACAGTAACGAATTGCTGAAAAGACAACTTGGTCATCTCTACGCAGGTTTTGTCTTTGTCTATGGGGACATCGACAACATCAGACAGGTAAATCACTACAACACATTACAGTCAAACTCATGTGAATGACAGGGAAAAGTAATTACACCCAAATAAAACTGATCTACACACAAGTACAAAGCAAAAATACATAGCTAGGTATACATTATCTACACACAAATAAAATGCAAAAATACATAGCTAGGTATACATTATCTACACACAAATAAAATGTAAAAATACATAGCTAGGTATACATTATCTACACACAAATAAAATGTAAAAATACATAGCTAGGTATACATTATCTACACACAAGTACAATGTAAAAATACATAGCTAGGTATACATTATCTACACACAAATAAAATGTAAAAATACATAGCTAGGTATACATTATCTACACACAAATAAAATGTAAAAATACATAGCTAGGTATACATTATCTACACAAGTACAATGTAAAAATACATAGCTAGGTATACATTATCTACACACAAATAACATTATCTACACACAAATAAAATGTAAAAATACATAGCTAGGTATACATTATCTACACACAAATAAAATGTAAAAATACATAGCTAGGTATACATTATCTACACACAAATAAAATGTAAAAATACATAGCTAGGTATACATTATCTACACACAAATAAAATGTAAAAATACATAGCTAGGTATACATTATCACACAAATGTAAAAATAATGTAGGTATACATTATCTACACAAGTAATGTAAAAATACATAGCTAGGTATACATTATCTACACACAAGTATACAATGTAAAAATACATAGCTAGGTATACATTATCTACACAAGTACAATGTAAAAATACATAGCTAGGTATACATTATCTACACTACACACAAGGTATACATTATCTACATAAAATGTAAAAATCTACACAAGTAAAATGTAAAAATACATAGCTAGCTAGGTATACATTATCTACACAAGTACAATGTAAAAATACATAGCTAGGTATACATTATCTACACAAATAAAATGTAAAAATGCATAGCTAGGTATGCATTATCTACACACAAGTACAATGTAAAAATACATAGCTAGGTATACATTATCTACACAAGTACAATGTAAAAATACATAGCTAGGTATACATTATCTACACACAAATAAAATGTAAAAATACATAGTTAGGTATACATTATCTACACACAAATACAATGTAAAAATACATAGCTAGGTATGCATTATCTACACACAAGTACAATGTAAAAATACATAGCTAGGTATACATTATCTACACAAATAAAATGTAAAAATACATAGCTAGGTATACATTATCTACACAAGTAAAATGTAAAAATACATAGCTAGGTATACATTATCTACACACAAATGTAAAATGTAGGTATACATTATCTACACACATACATAGCTAGGTATACATTATCTACACACAAATAAAATGTAAAAATACATAGCTAGGTATACATTATCTACACAAATAAAATGTAAAAATACATAGCTAGGTATACATTATCTACACAAGTACTATGTAAAAATACATAGGTAGGTATACATTATCTACACAAATAAAATGTAAAAATACATAGCTAGGTATACATTATCTACACACAAGTAAAATGTAAAAATACATAGCTAGGTATACATTATCTACACAAATAAAATGTAAAAATACATAGCTAGGTATACATTATCTACACAAGTAAAATGTAAAAATACATAGCTAGGTATACATTATCTACACACAAGTACAATGTAAAAATACATAGCTAGGTATACATTATCTACACACAAATAAAATGTAAAAATACATAGCTAGGTATACATTATCTACACAAGTACAATGTAAAAATACATAGTTAGGTATACATTACCTACACACAAATACAATGTAAAAATACATAGCTAGGTAGGTACAATGTAAAAATACATATAGGTATACATTATCTACACACAAGTAAAATGTTAAAATACATAGCTAGGTATACATTATCTACACAAGTACAATGTAAAAATACATAGCTAGGTATACATTATCTACACAAATAAAATGTAAAAATGCATAGCTAGGTATACATTATCTACACACAAATAAAATGTAAAAATACATAGCTAGGTATACATTATCTACACACAAATAAAATGTAAAAATACATAGCTAGGTACATTTTATCTACACAAATAAAATGTAAAAATACATAGCTAGGTATACATTATCTACACATATAAAATGTGAAAATACATAGCTAGGTATACATTATCTACACACAAATAAAATGTAAAATTACATAGGTAGGTATACATTATCTACACAAATAAAATGTAAAAATACATAGCTAGGTATACATTATCTACACACAAATAAAATGTAAAAATACATAGCTAGATATACATTAACTACACATATGAAATGTAAAAATACATAGGTAAGTATACATTATCTACACACAAGTAAAAGTTGTGAGGTGTATATATCTGTGTGCAGAATACCTGGACTTATTAATGTACTCTAAATATTTAAGATATGCATCAATAAGTTGTGGCATTTATCACAGCACACAATGAAAACTTTTCATTGTAAGTAACAGTTGACTGTAGTTTTTTGAGACCTCTGACATAAATGCATGTAGTTGTGTCCTGTTCTTTCTTCCCTTTCAAATAAAAGCAACAAAAAAATACCAACATGTAAATATTACCATTATCCAATCTCAACTTCAATAAAAAAAAAGAAATTAACTAAAGATTAACATGGAGACTCGTGAAAAAGTACAAGGAGAATAAGACCAGGTGTTCCAGAAGAGTAAGAGTTGTCTGCTTCATCTTCATCTCTGGTCTTGTAATTGTAAATCTTGGTCAATCCAAGTAAGTAATGTCACATTTTTACATGAGATCAGGGTGTACAAATAGGAAAATAAAACTGCTGTCATCGATAGATATCATTATGTAGATTATACACTTTATACAATGATAGATTTCTTTTTAAAACAATTTTGAACATATACATAAATAGATATTGGTGCGACGGGTGGAGGCATGTTTTAATAAGTAAATATATTCACACTATTCCCGAAGTACTACTTTGGCGTTGTGCATCCCATGATCTCGTTCTGTATTCAAAATACACATACTTGCCAAACTAAGCTAAAGATGTCTTGATTGGCTTTCGCAGTCATCAGTCAACCGAGAGAGACATGACACTGCAGACTATTTTCATTAAAGTATTATTTCATACTGAATTATGGAATTGAGAAAAATTGTGACCAACACCTTTTAAGCTGCAAAACAGTTGAGAGACACACACCCATTGGGCCTGTTGTATTTAGAGAGAACTTTTAATGGTGTCAGTGTTTGTACAACAGATGTAACACTCACTTTTACAGCAATTCCATAATCATTTGGGATTTCTGGCAGAGATGAAGGCTTTATGGGACATGTTGTTCCCCTCCAGCAGTTGTCTCAGTGTCAGCCACATAGAGAGAGTGTTCCAGGTGCTTCCTTCTGTCGAGGTAAATTTCATCTAAACTGATGGACACACCATCCATTTGTACATTGTATTGAACTAAATTTCAGCATAAAAATATTGTTTGTTTAATTGGTGAATTGTAAGTCAATAAGAATATTAATTGTTGGTTGCCAATATAAGATGGTAACAATTCTTGTTCAGGCTATTTCTTTATGGATCTTTTTAAAATTTCATATGTAGAGTCCCCTTGCTCCCTAGTTATGCATTGTTTCATTTTCAGACTGACCAGAAAAATAACCTGGCTGACAAGTGGCCATTTGAATTTAGTCAGTAGTACTTTGTTCCCACTATTTCTTGGAAAGTTTTGAACAGATCTGTCTCAAATTTCATATTTAGAGACCCCATGATCCCTAGTTGTTCATTATCCTACTTTCAGACTGATAAAAAAATGGCTGACAGATGGCTGTCTTAGATTTGACAGTAATATTTTTGTTATTGTGTTTTCTGAAGAAGTTTTGGGTCAATCTTTTTCAAATATCATATGTACTTGTCTTTTGGTATCTCATTTTGCTCTTTCAATTTTTAGTCTGCTTGAAAAAATAAAATGGCAGCCATCTTGAATTTTGACAATGAAAGTTTGTTATCACAATTCATTTTGAAGAACTGCATAAATATGTCTCAAATTCCATATGTAGGGACTCCTTAGTCATTAATTTTTATTCAATTTTCAGACTGATATGCAAAAACAACATGGTGATAGGTAGCCATCTTGGATTTTACCTACATCAGTTTGATATTTCCAGAACTTTGGTCCCATTTTGTGCAAATTTGATTTCAGAACTGTCAGAAAAAATACTGACAGGCAGCCATCTTTTCACAGTTGAAGATTATTATTGCTATTTGATTAAGAACAAATGAAGATCACATGACATCTGGGTACCAAGATTCCTCATGAGTCTCATGTTCAGAGATGATTTCAAATATTGGTACAGGTACTTAAAAACATCCCTCTTCAACAGAGAAAATAATTTTCAGGAAAAATTAAAAGCATGGAAATATTTTCATTTGAATAAGTTTTCCTGAGGAAGCTTTTCATTTATAAAAGACAAATACTGTTTGGAAAATATTGCATTTTCAAGAAATTTTTATTTCAGTAGTCTGTTAAGTTTTGTTTTATACACCCAATACATTATCATAAGTATGTAATAAGGACTTCAGATTCAAAAGTTTATTTCAGGTTTGTGAGATACATATGGTCATGGTACATATTATAATGATCGTTTTTATTGTTTAGGTATATAGTGACCTGTTTCTTCAGGCCTCTAACATTCTTCAGTCCAGCCAGCGAAGGCCTGGTGTCATACTTGGTGCTGTACTGTACAAACAAAGGTATGTCAAAGATCAACACATCTAAAAAATGGAAACTACATTTGGTGAAAAATCAAAGGTCAAGATTATGAGTCACCTTAGATGTCCTACTTGCTGAATTTAAAGGGTCAGGGGCCAACAAATGTATATAGATATAATTTCAAGAATGTCTGGAGTATATTGTTAGCAAAGAATCCCATGGACAGAGAACAGTCAGCAAAGCTCACAAGCAGCAATCAGGTCACAAGGCCAAATGTCATTCATTGAGGTTTCAAAAGGTTCAATGTCATTGTGGTTTCATGGGGTTAAATGTCACTTAGGTTTCATGAGGTCAGATATAATTCATTAAGGTTTCACAAGGTCAAATGTCACTGAGATTTCACAAGGTCAAATGTCAAATTTTAAATGTAATTTAAAATGTTGATAGAGATGATGATTGTTACAATATTTTGGGATCAACTTCAGTTAATGTCATCACAGCTAAATCTTAAATGGTATTGTCTCCTTCCTTATTTCTATAGAAATATAGAGAATGATTACTTAAATTGCATTATCCATTTGAATGAAACAGACTGACAACTTGGTTATATTGTAGGTACATTAGGAACAATCTAGACAGATAATCCAAGCAGAACCCATTTTTAAAAATCAAAATTTTTCAAATGCCTTGACATACATCATACACCCAAATTCATCATCAACTTGACCGGAAAGTGAGTGGAGCTTCTTTGCCATCAATGGTTGAAAGTTGTGATTTGAACATGTGAGAGAACAACATTTCACAGTTCTTAGTTTTTGTGGAATTTAGTTAATATTGCAATAATTACATCAATTTTAGACTCAAATTGTTTTAGAATGGGGATATTATATTTAAAACTCATTTGTTCTTACGCAAATACAAGACTAGACTTGGTCTTATACTTTAAGCAAAATTCATGATCTAATCTCTTGTATGTTGAAAACACAATATTGCTGGTTATAATCTGATATTTGTGGTTTTGTTGACAGAGTTTTATGTACACAATATTGCTGGTTATAATCTGATATTTGTGTTTTTGTTGACAGAGTTTTATGTACACAATATTGCTGGTTATAATCTGATATTTGTGGTTTTGTTGACAGAGTTTTATGTACACAATATTGCTGGTTATAATCTGATATTTGTGGTTTTGTTGACAGAGTTTTATGTACACAATATTGCTGGTTATAATCTGATATTTGTGGTTTTGTTGACAGAGTTTTATGTACACAATATTGCTGGTTATAATCTGATATTTGTGGTTTTGTTGACAGAGTTTTATGTACACAATATTGCTGGTTATAATCTGATATTTGTGTTTTTGTTGACAGAGTTTTATGTACACAATATTGCTGGTTATAATCTGATATTTGTGGTTTTGTTGGCAGAGTTTTATGTACACAATATTGCTGGTTATAATCTGATATTTGTGTTTTTGTTGACAGAGTTTTATGTACACAATATTGCTGGTTATAATCTGATATTTGTGTTTTTGTTGACAGAGTTTTATGTACACAATATTGCTGGTTATAATCTGATATTTGTGTTTTTGTTGACAGAGTTTTATGTACACAATATTGCTGGTTATAATCTGATATTTGTGTTTTTGTTGACAGAGTTTTATGTACACAGATGTCCCCAGAGCTGACAAGGAAGCTCATTCTTATCCGTCCAGAGGTATATATACATTACATAAAATACTTGAGTCAGCTCATTGAGATCCAAACATATTATTCTGTGATACCATTTACCTCACATAAAGTTCTAAGTAAGCTGGTGCAGTTCAATGGAAAATATGGCAGTATACGCTATAATATGATATATTTGTTGTGTTAACTAGAAATTGACTTCTTGGCTAAGAACAAATTTCAAATTCAAAAGCAGTGAATAAAATTTGAAATGAGAAAACAATTTCAGTGTCCACAAAATGTTTTTACCCAGATGTCTTCTGTTTAAAACACAAAAGACAGATTTCAGAAACATCTCATGTTATATTGCATGTGGTGTGATGTATATTTAAGAAGTAATTGTGATGTTTAAACAGCATGTTTTTTTTAATAAAGTATGTAGTTAGTTCCTTAGACAGTCAAAACTTTCTTTAAAGACCACTCACGGGAGAAAGTGACCTCTAGAGACATGTAAAATAACAATGAAATAAAAAATCACTATTTAGGATCCAACTTCAGTGACATTTACAGGCAGGCATTTGGTATACAGTAAATCTGGCTCGTGGCAAACACATTTAAATCAAATACATCCGATAAGTCAAATGTTTTGTTTGGACCCATTTTTTTCTGTTCTTTATCTTAGTAAATCAAGCACAGATAATTCGAACACTGTTGAATTGTGAGTATCAAGGATATTTTTGGTCCATTACTTCTAAATTCAAACAAGATTTACATTTTGTTGTTATATATTCACCTTGATGCAGGTAAAAATGAACCCGACTTTAGTCCAAATGACTGAGTGTGTTAAGTCAGCCGTATATGTGTTAATGAGCCCTTTTGTTATTTTTGATCGAACATTAATCCCTGTGTTTACACAAGTGCACAGGTGAAAGTTCGAATTTATACAGAATTAGGAAACCAAACTTAAAACAAAATACACTGTAGACTGTTAACCATAAATCTATTTTATTATGCGCATAACTGGCTGAAACCAATGGAAAGTGATAACCATCAGGCTGCAGCAGATTGATACTAGTGTGTCATTAGCACATTTGTTTCTGATTATAAATACTTCCACTGATATACATGTACATATACAAAGGATAAGTTTTATTTTATTCTATTTTATGATTATGCTTTTAAGGAGCTCTACATGTGAATTTAAAGTTATGCTTCAGTGACGTCGCAGAATTCACCTGTTTATTTTTTCAGTGCCCATATATCGATGTAGAATGTTCATCAGTATGTATTTATGGAGTATACAGGTGTGTGCTGCACTTCAATGACCAGTGTTTCACATTACATTTTTAGCCCACCATCATCTTGAGAGGTATTGGATGGATCTTTCCCAAATTGGAATTCCCCTTGGTCCTTAGTTGTACCAGTTTGATTTTTGGACTGATCAAAAAATAAGAATGGCTGACAGACGGCCATCTTCGATTTTGACTTTGCACAGTTGTTATCGCTATTTCTTGAGAACTACTCTTTAGATCTTTCTCAAATTTCATATGAAGGTTGCTTTTTGTCCCTTGTTGTGCCCATCTCTTTTTAGGACTAATCAGAAAAACAAAATGGCTGATAGGTAGCCATCTTGGATTTTTGCTGTGAAAGATTGTTATCACTATTTCTAGAGAATTAATGCATAGACCTTTCTGAAATTGCAAGTTTAGTGATCCCTGATTGCTCCCATTTGATTTTGGACAGGCAGTCATCTTGGATTTTGATACAGAAAATTTGTCATTGCTATTTCTTGAGAAATATGGCATAGATTTTTCTCAAATTTCATATGTATGTTTCCATTGATCCTGATGTGCCTGTTTGAGTTTGGGACTGGTCAGGAAAACAAAATGGCTGACAGGCAGCCAGCTTTGTTTTCTCCAAGTAAAGATTGTTATCCCTATTTCTTAAGAAGCACTGAATTGATCTCTCTCAACTTTCATATGTATGTTCCCTTTGATTGCTACTTGTACTCGTTTGAGTTTTGGACTGATCAAAAAAACAAAATTGCTTCCAGGCGACCATATTGGATCTGGCAGGTAAAGATTATCATCGCTATTTCTGCAAAGGAATATTCAAATTTCTTATTAAGATTAAGAGAAGAGAAAAGAAGGGAAAATGTCCAACTTTCAAAGAGCAATAAAGATCAAACAATGTTGGATGCCAAGATCCCTCTGCAATCTCTTGTTAGGTCACCTGAGACAAAGTCTCATGGTGACCTATTCTAATAACCTTCATCCGGCATTGTGCAGAGTGCATCTGTAAATAATTTAACACTTTCGACTTCTTCTCAAAAACCCTTGATCCAATTTCAATGAAATTTTGCAGAAAGCTTCCCTGGTCTAAGATGAACCAAAATTGTGAATTATACAGAGCCAACCCCACAGGGACCTGAGGGTTGAGGCCAAAAGAGGTTAAATTGACTCAGATTTCAAAGATCTTCTTTTTAAGTTCCAGATATGGCAGAATCATATACTCTTCATGAGTGGAAGCATCTTAAGGTGCTTTACCAAAATTGTGAATTTCATGGCCCCAGGGTCTCACATGTGCCCTTGGGGATTGGGTAAAGTTTTATTATATTTTATATAGGAAAACTAGATTTTGAGCATCATTTGTTTAATTTCCATTGGAAATATTTCAAATTTAATTAGAATTATGAGTGAAGGGTGACATCTTGATGGTATGCCCATTTTGATCCTGACTGACCTCCAGGGGCTAATGGGTGGGGTCAAAATGGGTCAAATTGACTTAAATTTCAAAAATCTTCTCAACACCCAGGTATGGTATAATCAAATGCTCTTCATGAATGGAAGCATCTTAAGGTGCTTTAATTATCAAAATGAGTCTCACATTTCTTCCTGGGAGGAATATTTTTTTTAAACTTTACTGTAATTTTCATAGAAAAATAGTATTTTTGAGCAAAACATTGGTCATTTCCCACTGGAAATAACACTATAAGAATAATCAGTATAAGATGACAGTTTTGATGGAATGCATGTATTGACACTGTCTATATTCAGTGTCACAATTTCTGTTTCATGACACTTGATAACTATCCTCTTTGTATTCTATATTGCGTAGTGACTGATAAGGCCGCTAGGCATCTTGTTTAATCTTTCTTGAGGACTGTGTATGGTTTCATTAGTGATATGATTGATGATGTTAATTATACACTCCAGATTAGTTTTATGAGATGTTTTGTTAAAGGTATTAATATTGTTATCTATCAAGATTTTATTGTAGTCTTTACTTGGTCATTTTACCACAAAAACAATTTTTACAGTAAAATTCACCATAGAGGTACAATTTAGGAGGATTAATAAATACATAGATCTGGATGTATATTCCTGTCATAGTTTTGTATCCTTTTGTAACAGTTTAACATTTTATTACAGCTACCCTGTGCTGAAATAAAAACAGGTGAGTGTATCATGGATAAAATATCATCATATTTTCAGATTTTAGAAAAGTTCTGATTTCTAAGTTAAAATCACTAGATCTGGAAATTATTTTAGCATTGTCTAATTAATTAATTAATTGAGGTCAGTAATAATTAATTATTTAATGCCCAAATTTTGTGGTTATCCCGAAAAACATACATTTTAATTACCACTTGATTTCATGCTACATATGAAAGTGATTTCATGCTACATATGAAAATGATTTCATGCTAGAGGCGAAAGTGATTTCATGCTTCAGGTGAAAGTGATTACATGCTTCAGGTGAAAGTGATTTCATGCTATAGGTGAAAGTGATTTCATACCTCAGGTGAAAGTGATTTCATACTATAGGTAAAAGTGATTTCATACCTCAGGTGAAAGTGATTTCATGCTTCAGGTGAAAGTGATTTCATGCTATAGGTGAAAGTGATTTCATACCTCAGGTGAAAGTGATTTCATGCTTCAGGTGAAAGTGATTTCATGCTAGAGGTGAAAGTGATTTAATGCTTCAGGTGAAAGTGATTTCATGCTTCAGGTGAAAGTGATTTCATGCTTCAGGTGAATGTGATTTCATACCTCAGGTGAAAGTGATTTCATGCTAGAGGTGAAAGTGATTTCATGCTTCAGGTGAAAGTGATTTCATACCTCAGGTGAAAGTGATTTCATGCTTCAGGTGAAAGTGATTTCATGCTTCAGGTGAAAGTGATTTCATGCTATAGGTGAAAGTGATTTCATACCTCAGGTGAAAGTGATTTCATACCTCAGGTGAAAGTGATTTCATGCTTCAGGTGAAAGTGATTTCATGCTAGAGGTGAAAGTGATTTAATGCTTCAGGTGAAAGTGATTTCATGCTTCAGGTGAAAGTGATTTCATGCTTCAGGTGAAAGTGATTTCATGCTATAGGTGAATGTGATTTCATACCTCAGGTGAAAGTGATTTCATGCTAGAGGTGAAAGTGATTTCATGCTTCAGGTGAAAGTGATTTCATACCTTAGGTGAAAGTGATTTCATGCTTCAGGTGAAAGTGATTTCATGCTATAGGTGAAAGTGATTTCATACCTCAGGTGAAAGTGATTTCATACCTCAGGTGAAAGTGATTTCATGCTTCAGGTGAAAGTGATTTCATGCTTCAGGTGAAAGTGATTTCATGCTGTAGGTGAATGTGATTTCATGCTTCAGGTGAAAGTGATTTCATGCTTCAGGTGAAAGTGATTTCATGCTTCAGGTGAAAGTGATTTCATGCTTCAGGTGAAAGTGATTTCATGCTATAGGTGAATGTGATTTCATGCTTCAGGTGAAAGTGATTTTATGCTTCAGGTGAAAGTGATTTCATGCTATAGGTGAAAGTGATTTCATGCTTCAGGTGAAAGTGATTTCATGCTTCAGGTGAAAGTGATTTCATACTATAGGTGAAAGTGATTTCATACCTCAGGTGAAAGTGATTTAATGCTTCAGGTGGAAGTGATTTCATGCTATAGGTGAAAGTGATTTAATGCTTCAGGTGAAAGTGATTTCATGCTTCAGGTGAAAGTGATTTCATGCTTCAGGTGAATGTGATTTCATACCTCAGGTGAAAGTGATTTCATGCTTCAGGTGAAAGTGATTTCATACTATAGGTGAAAGTGATTTCATACCTCAGGTGAAAGTGATTTCATACCTCAGGTGAAAGTGATTTCATGCTTCAGTTGAAATTGATTTCATGCCTCAGGTGAAAGTGATTTCATGCTTCAGGTGAATGTGATTTCATACCTCAGGTGAATGTGATTTCATACCTCAGGTGAAAGTGATTTCATGCTAGAGGTGAAAGTGATTTCATGCTTCAGGTGAAAGTGATTTCATGCTTCAGGTGAATGTGATTTCATACCTCAGGTGAAAGTGATTTCATGCTTCAGGTGAAAGTGGTTTCATACTATATATGAAGTTTGAGGTGTGTGCTTTGGTCCCTGCACAGATGAAAGCTTGAAATTTGTGTTTCAGTTGAGCGGCTCAATTACTGTTAGAGGTGAAAGTTGAAGACGTGAGGTTATCTTTGTTCTTAGTTAAGATCTTAGATGTGTGGTTTGATCCTTGCTTCAGTGTAAGATCTGAGATGTGTGGTTTGATCCTTGCTTCAGTGTAAGATCTGAGATGTGTGGTTTGATCTCTGCCCCAGTGTAAGATCTGAGATGTGTGATTTGATCCCTGCTCTAGTGTAAGATCTGAGATGTGTGGTTTGATCCCTGCTCTAGTGTAAGATCTGAGATGTGTGGTTTGATCTCTGCTCCAATGTAAGATCTGAGATGTGTGATTTGATCTCTGCCCCATTGTAAGATCTGAGATGCGTGGTTTGATCCTTGCTTCAGTGTAAGATCTGAGATGTGTGATTTGATCCCTGCTCTAGTGTAAGATCTGAGATGTGTGGTTTGATCCCTGCTCTAGTGTAAGATCTGAGATGTGTGGTTTGATTCCTGCTCTAGTGTAAGATCTGAGATGTGTGGTTTGATCTCTGCTCCAGTGTAAGATCTGAGATGTGTGGTTTGATCCTTGCTTCAGTGTAAGATCTGAGATGTGTGGTTTGATCCCTGCTCTAGTGTAAGATCTGAGATGTGTGGTTTGATCTCTGCTCTAGTGTAAGATCTGAGATGTGTGATTTGATCCCTGCTCCAGTGTAAGATCTGAGATTTGTGGTTTGATCCTTTCTTCAGTGTAAGATCTGAGATGTGTGGTTTGATCCCTGCTCCAGTGTAAGATCTGAGATGTGTGGTTTGATCCCTGCTCCAGTGTAAGATCTGAGATGTGTGGTTTGATCCCTGCTCCAGTGTAAGATCTGAGATGTGTGGTTTGATTCCTGCTCCAGTGTAAGATCTGAGATGTGTGGTTTGATTCCTGCTCCAGTGTAAGATCTGAGATGTGAGGTTTGATCCCTGCTCCAGTGTAAGATCTGAGATGTGTGGTTTGATCCTTGCTTCAGTGTAAGATCTGAGATGTTTGGTTTGATCCCTGCTCCAGTGTAAGATCTGAGATGTGTAGTTTGATTCCTGCTCTTGTTGAAGGTCTGATTTGCTGTTCAAACTTTCGTACAGATGAAAGTTTCAGATGTGTTGTTCCATTTGTGCTACAAATGAAAATCTAAAACATGTGGTTTGATCCCTGCTTCAGGTGAAAGTGTGAGATGTGTGTTTTAAGCCTTGTTTCTTGTGAAGATTTGATGGGTTTAAAGATAATCATGTAGGCTGTTGGTATTGTTATTAGTATTGTTTTACCAATATACAATAGATTTGGTATATTTTTAGCCCACCATCTAATAGATGTTGGGTTATTCAAATCGCCCTGCGTCCGTGGTCCGTCCGTCCGTCCGTAAACAATTCTTGTTACCGCTATTTCTGGAAAAGTAATGGATGGATCTTCCTCAAATTTCATATGCAGGTTCCCTTTGGTCCCTAGTTGTGCATTGTACCTTTTTTGAACTGATTCGCATTCAAGATGGCCGACAGGTGGCCATCTTGGATTTTGGAAGTAAAAGTTTGTTACCGCTATTTCTGGAAAAGTATTGGATGGATCTTTCTCAAATTTCATATGCAGTTTCCCCTTGGTCATGAGTTGTGCATTGTACCTTTTTTGGCCTGATTCGAATTCAAGATAGCCGACAGGTGGCCATCTTGGATTTTGGAAGTAAAAGTTTGTTACTGCTATTTCTTGGAAAGTGCTGGATGGATCTTCCTTAAATTTCATATGCAGTTTCCCCTTGGTCCCTAGTTGTGCATTATACCTTTTTTGGACTAATTCGAATTCAAGATGGCCGACAGGCAGCCATCTTGGATTTTTGAAGTAAAAGTTTGTTACTGCTATTTCTTGGAAAGTACTGGATGGATCTTCCTCAAATTTCATATGCAGTTTCCCCTTTGTCCCTAGTTGTGCATTGTACCTTTTTTGGACTAATTCGAATTTTGGATTTAAAAGTTTGTTACTGCTATTTCTTGGAAAGTACTGGATGGATCTTTCTCAAATTTCATATGCAGTTTCCCCTTAGTCCCTAGTTGTGCATTGTACCTGTTTTGGACTGATTCGAATTCAAGAAGGCCCACAGGTGGCCATCTTGGATTTTGGAAGTAAAAGTTTGTTACTGCTATTTCTTGGAAAGTACTGGATGGATCTTTCTGATATTTCATAGATATTGGTTTCCCTTGGTCACTAGTTGTGCATTGTACCTTTTTTGGACTGATTTGAAATCAAGGTGGCCCACAGGCCGCCATCTTGGATGTCGACAGTAATACAGCACAAGCATATTGTCCATTATCCACCTGTAACTGACTGCTATCTAATAATACTTTGGGGTCTTTTTCAAATGATATTTGCTAATAGGTGCTTAATAAAAATATCTTGTGCCATCATTGAGTGCATTCAATGAAGACCAGTTAATGAACATTTACAACACCTGTAACAAACAAAAAAAAAAATAAACAAATCTTCAATAACTGAAAACAGATTCTCAAATGGTGGGCGCCAAGATCCCTCTGGGATCTCTTGTTATACTTAAACATGTACTGTTATACTGTGAAGGGTAAAGCGTTTCACTGTGAGTTTTTTTTCTGGACCCTTTGGGTCAGATGACCTATAGCCATCATGCTTCGTCCGTCGTTGTCTGCCCTGCACCGTGCGTCGTCCGTAAACTTTTCATTCAAAAAACTTCTTCTCAAATACTAGAAGGCTTAGGGGGCTAATACTTGGCCCATAGCATGCTGGCATGGAGCCCTACAAAGCTTGTTCCAATGAATGACCTTGACCCACTTTCAAGGTCACAGGGGTCAAATATGTTAAAATATACAAACAACTTCTTCTCAATAAGCAAAAGTCCATGAGTGCTGATATTGGGCCTGTTGCATGCTGGGATGAAGGGCTACCAAGTCTGTTCAAATGAATGACCTTCACCCATTTTCAAAGTCACAGGGGTCAAATATGTTAAAATATACAAACGACTTCTTCTCAATAAGCAAAAGTCCAAGAGTGCTGATATTGGGCCTGTAGGATGCTTGGAGGAAAGGCTACCAAGTTTGTTCAAATGAATGACCTTGATCCACTTTCAAGGTCACAGGGATCAAATATGTTGAAATTTTTAAACAACTTCTTCTCAACAATTAAAAGGCTCAGAATGCTGATATTGGGTCTGTAGGATGCTGGGATGAAGGGCTACCAAGTTTGTTCAAATGAATGACCTTGACCCATTTTCAAAGTCACAGGGGTCAAATATGTTAAAATATACAAACGACTTCTTCTCAATAAGCAAAAGTCCAAGAGTGCTGATATTGGGCCTGTAGGATGCTTGGAGGAAAGGCTACCAAGTTTGTTCAAATGAATGACCTTGATCCACTTTCAAGGTCACAGGGATCAAATATGTTGAAATTTTTAAACAACTTCTTCTCAACAACAAAAAGGCTCAGAATGCTGATATTGGGTCTGTAGGATGCTGGGATGAAGGGCTACAAAGTTTGTTCAAATGAATGACCTTGACCCACTTTCAAGGTCATAGGGGTCAAATATATTAAAATATACAAACAACTTCCTCTCAATAAGCAAAAGTCCAAGAGTGCTGATAATGGACCTGTAGGATGCTGGGATGACATGCTACTAAATTTGTTCAAATGAATGACCTTGACCCATTTTCAAAGTCACAGGGGTCAAATATGTTAGAATATACAAACGACTTCTTCTCAATAAGCAAAAGTCCAAGAGTGCTGATAATGGACCTGTAGGATGCTGGGATGACATGCTACTAAATTTGTTCAAATGAATGACCTTGACCCATTTTCAAAGTCACAGGGGTCAAATATGTTAAAATATACAAACGGCTTCTTCTCAATAAGCAAAAGTCCAAGAGTGCTGATAATGGACCTGTAGGATGCTGGGATGACATGCTACTAAATTTGTTCAAATGAATGACCTTGACCCACTTTCAAGGTCACAGGTGTTAAATATGTTTAAAATCTTCTTCTCAGTAACCAAAAGGCTCAGAGTGCTGATATTGGGCCTGTAGGATGCTGGGAGGAAGGGCTACCAAGTTTATTCAAATGAATAAAGCCCACTGTTTTAACGGCAGACTCACTGTTGTTAGAGTTTGGCTTGCTTTTTGTCAGATGACCTTTAAGGCCCATGGGCCTCTTGTTTCTTCATTCTTCTTCGGTCGTTTTTGCCCCATAGGACAAAAGTTAGAATATGTTTCACTTTACTGCATTACAACAAGACACATTTCTTTGGGATGGTGCAGTTGTAATGCATTCACATTTCACCTAGATGTGCTGGATGCGATTCCTGGGAAAAGAGGTGAAAAAGAATGGGGTCACATGCCTGACCACGCGGGTTTTCCCCCGGGTAATCAGATTTCCTACCACAATAAGACCCCTCGCATGCTTCCATCTGGGGCAACAAGAGTGATTTGGAAAAACTTGTTTCCTAATTGTTGTCAATGAATAAAGTTTATCATAATTATATATATGGTAATTTATACGAATATGGTAATAATCACATAAGAGTTTTTAGCTTGTGATAAACAGAGACAAAATAATTGTGACAGTTAGAAATGATTTAATGAGAAAAAGACATTAAATTTCCTTGTTGAAGGTGAAGATATTTCTGAGTTCCTCTAAACTCTCCACCTGTTGATTGTATGTTCCTACAGACTTTCCACTCCCTGGAGGTGTTAGACTAACCACGGTTTACCTAACAGATGTAGAGTATTCCGCTATTAGACCACAGCACAGTCTGAATTCACAGGGACATTACCGACACAGTGAAAACTCAAAGTTTGTCTGGAGTAAAACTGCACCAGGTGGCAGCACTGTCAGAAAATCTGAGTCTCCTAGACGTTTTACAAAAGATGAGTCAAATACAAGAAGGCCCAGCTCAAGAAATGATAGGACCTACAGCGGAAGAAATTCCAATATGGAAATTATTCCGGAAATTCCTTCTGTTGTGCTGTCTGACACTACTTACATGGAATGTAAAGATAGGTTGGAAATAGCGGGGAAATCCAGTGAGGCAAAAACATTAGAAGAATGGAAAGAAACTGAGCGAGCAGAACAAAGGAAAGATTTTATCAGGGAAAAAAGTTATTCAGAATCAACTCGACGGAGAATTATAGTTACAGTTTCTGGAGAAGATGATGAAACTATTAGTGATTTAGAGGATAATGAGACAAAAAACTCTCAGGCTGAAGGAAAGACTTCTGATAATAGTATTTCTAGAACATTGACTGCTGACATCATTGTTCACCATTGTCAGGATGAAATTGTCGAGAAAATTGTTGGAAACAACAGCGAAAAACTGCCAAAAATTGTCACAGATCACGATAGTTCATTAGTTGGTGATGTGGAAAATGACCAACACCTCACGAACAATTTATCAGCAAAACAAAACAGTGACGGACCAGGAAATGATGAAAATGAGATTATGAAACAGACTGATGTGTCACTTATGCCACATTCAAAGGGACACAACTCTCCCAGAAATGTGAGGCAGCCGTCCACAGAGTTTGTGTCCGAGTCTGAAGAAACGGGCACAGAAAGTGTCTTTGGAACTTCCGTTTTCAGCGGAGATGAATCTTTTATGAGCTATTTGTCTTCTCCAGAAAATGAGGAAAATAAAGAGACAATGGTTTTCAGGGGAGGTATGTATGAGACGACAGGTGGAGAGGAATCTAGTGTCGAGGGAGGTGTAGTGGAAAACAGGGACATGCAAAGTGTTCCTGGTCATGTGACTTTAGACACACCAGATACTTCCATTGAAACTTTGCATAATTCTGGATCATTTGAAAGTCAGATCACACAATCAGCTGTGGAAAGTAATGATGGTTTATCTTCTGATTGGTTACCAGAGGAACATGGTCTGCATGAATTGACACTTTATATCCAAAGTCACTCTGATGTTTGTCTCATGTTACTGATGGAGGAGGAATCGGCGTCCAATGAAAATGTTTTGAGTGCTCTGGTAAGTCAGTGTCAAGTTCATGCATTTCAGTTTTATGATTATGTTGACTTTCTGTTAAATATATGCTGTACAAATGAAAAAGTTTTTGTGTTATCTTTTCTAAAGAAAACAGCCATTTGATTTTTTTCTAGATTAAAGATTTGCTCTTTTGATTTGGAAAATACTGACATCTATACTAATACTTTATTGTAACGTGACATCAAAGAAAATATCATCGATGCAAAATTTCTGTTTGAAACAATTTATTATGAGCGAAGTTGATTCTGTGGATTTCATTCTGTTCCTTTTCTAAATACATGTGCAGTATGATTCATATTTGGTTATAGAATGGTATCGTCCTCATATATATATATATATGTTGATCTTTTTCTATATATAATTTGTTATTTAATGGTGTACAGTTTCCATGTGGATCTTTTCTTTATATATATCTTGTTTCAGTATAAAAGTTCCCTTACCGGTATGGCTGAATTGGATTACTATGTAAAGGAGTGTATAGCTCAATCCACTAACGAGGTTTGTGTTTTTGGAATAAACAGTACTTGTAATATTCCCAGAGGACAAACACTTAGTCAAGAGCTGAGTTTAGAACAGGACCCCAGGGACATGCAAAAATATCCTCTCTGACTTACATTAGGTTGCTGGGCTTATTACATGACCTCAACAGTGACCTTCAAACACATCCTCTCTGACTTACATTAGGGTGCTGGACTTATTACATATCCTCTACAGTGACCTTCAAACACATCCTCTCTGACTTACATTAGGGTGCTGGACTTATTACATATCCTCTACAGTGACCTTCAAACACATCCTCTCTGACTTACATTAGAAAGCTGGGCTTATTACAAGACCTCTACAGTGACCTTCAAAAACATCCTCTCTGACTTACATTAGAAAGCTGGGCTTATTACATGACCTCTACAGTGACCTTCAAACACATCCTCTCTGACTTACATCAGGGTGCTGGGCTTATTACAAGACCTCTACAATGACCTTGAAACACACCTCTCTGACATAAATGTGGGGAGGCTGGCTTACTTACAGGACAATATTATTGACATGTGTCATTGGAGTACCTTGTATAAATACAAGATACAATAATTAGTTAAACTTGAAGGTGATGGAATTATGATTGAAAGTGTGTGAAATTGTTAAATGCCATAGTAGGGACTTGAAATGGGAACAAAGGTATATACTACAAAAATGTTTCAGTGTTAGTATAAATAGTATGAAATTTTACAAAACGTTAGAAACTTATAATTCTAGGAAACAAATACTGAATTTAAAATGTAAATACACTACATAAGGGAACTGTGAAAAGGGATGTTTCAAGAATTTTAACAAAAATTCTTTAAATGTTTAAAAGTTTGATAAAATAAATATATTATTTCCTTGAAATGACATGAAGGTATGTGAAATCTTAAAAAGTCCAAAACAATTTAGAATTCCTGGCAATATCAGCATTGTTATATTGCAGTTGTGTAGACTTACCAGTAATACTGTATGTTATAATCTCTATCTGTATGTTAATTTTAAGATTTGTGCTATTTGATTTGAAAAAAATACCAACTACAAACCGTTTATTTTTCAGGGTTTTATGGACAACTATAATTATCTGAGATACGATTCCTTTTTCCAGACAGTGAAAGGTTTGTCATCGTACACAAATTAGAAATCTTTCAATATTATATATGGATTAATGGAAAAAACATGACGAAGTATAATTTTTGACAGTAGCACTCACTGGTCAAGTTACCTTCAATTTTAACAAAAGAGGTTCTTCTTAGTGTTGTAATGCCCAGATCAAAATTCTCCCTCTGTCAAACTGACAATGCTGAATTACACTGTCACACAGATTACATGCTGGAAGACAACACTCACACTACACTGAATTACACTGTCCTGACCAACTAAACACACCTAGACAACACTCACACTACACTGAATTACACTGTCCTGATCAACTAAACACACCTAGATAACACTCACACTACAATGAATTACACTGTCCTGGCCAACTAAACACACATAGACAACACTCACACTACACTGAATTACACTGTCCTGGCCAACTAAACACACCTAGACAACACTCACACTACACTGAATTACACTGTCCTGTCCTGACCAACTAAGCACACCTAGACAACACTCACACTACACTGAATTACACTGTCCTGATCAACTAAACACACCTAGACAACACTCACACTACACTGAATTACACTGTCCTGATCAACTAAACACACCTAGACAACACTCACACTACACTGAATTACACTGTCCTTGCCAACTTAACACACCTACACAACACCTACACAACACTCACACTACACTGAATTACACTGTCCTGACCAACTAAACACACCTACACAACACTCACACTACACTGAATTACACTGTCCTGACCAACTAAACACACCTAGACAACACTCACACTACACTGAATTACACTGTCCTGACCAACTGAACACACCTAGACAACACTCACACTACACTGAATTACACTGTCCTGATCAACTAAACACACCTAGATAACACTCACACTACAATGAATTACACTGTCCTGATCAACTAAACACACCTAGACAACACTCACACTACACTGAATTACACTGTCCTGACCAACTAAACACACCTAGACAACACTCACACTACACTGAATTACACTGTCCTGGCCAACTAAACACACCTACACAACACTCACTATACACTGAATTACACTCTCCTCACCAACTGAACACACCTAGACAACACTCACACTACACTGAATTACACTGTCCTGGCCAACTAAACACACCTAGACAACACTCACATTACACTGAATTACACTGTCCTGACCAACAAACACACCTAGACAACACTCACACTACACTGAATTACACTGTCCTGACCAACTGAACACACCTAGACAACACTCACACTACACTGAATTACACTGTCCTGACAAACTAAACACACCTAGACAACACTCACACTACACTGAATTACACTGTCCTGATCAACTAAACACACCTAGACAACACTCACACTACACTGAATTACACTGTCCTCACCAACTGAACACACCTAGACAACACTCACACTACACTGAATTACACTGTCCTGATCAACTAAACACACCTAGACAACACTCACACTACACTGAATTACACTGTCCTGGCCAACACACTACACAACACTCACACTAACACACCTACCAACAACACACCAAGACAACACTCAATACACTGAATTACACTGTCCTGACCAACTGAACACACCTAGACAACACTCACACTACACTGAATTACACTGTCCTGACCAACTAAACACACCTAGACAACACTCACACTACACTGAATTACACTGTCCTGGCCAACTAAACACACCTAGACAACACTCACACTACACTGAATTACACTGTCCTGGCCAACTAAACACATCTACACAACACTCACACTACACTGAATTACACTCTCCTCACCAACTGAACACACCTAGACAACACTCACACTACACTGAATTACACTGTCCTGGGAAACTAAACACACCTAGATAACACTCACAATACACTGAATTACACTGTCCTGACCAACTGAACACACCTAGACAACACTCACACTACACTGAATTACACTGTCACAGTTATTTCATGCTGAAAGACAACACTCAAACTACACTGAATTACACTGTCCTGGCCAACTAAACACACCTACACAACACTCACACTACACTGAATTACACTCTCCTCACCAACTGAACACACCTAGACAACACTCACACTACACTGAATTACACTGTCCTCACCAACTGAACACACCTAGACAACACTCACACTACACTGAATTACACTGTCCTGGCCAAATAAACACCCCTACACAACGCTCACACTACACTGAATTACACTGTCCTGACCAACTGAACACACCTAGACAACACACACTACACTGAACTACACTCTCCTCGCCAACTGAACACACCTAGACAACACTCACACTACACTGACTTACACTGTCCTCACCAACTGAACACACCTAGACAACACTCACACTACACTGAATTACACTGTCCTGGCCAACTAAACACACCTAGACAACACTCACACTACACTGAATTACACTGTCCTGACCAACTAAACACACCTAGACAACACTCACACTACACTGAATTACACTGTCCTGGCCAACTAAACACACCTAGACAACACTCACACTACACTGAATTACACTGTCATGGCCAACTAAACACACCGAGACAACACTCACACTACACTGAATTACACTGTCCTGGGAAACTAAACACACCTAGACAACACTCACACTACACTGAATTACACTGTCCTGGCCAACTAAACACACCTAGACAACACTCACACTACACTGAATTACACTGTCAAACTAAACACTGGAAGACAACACTCACACTACACTGAATTACACTGTCCTGACAAACTAAACACACCTAGACAACACTCACACTACACTGAATTACACTGTCCTGGCCAACTAAACACACCTCGATAACACTCACACTACACTGAATTACACTGTCCTGACCAACTCAACACACCCAGACAACACTCACACTACACTGAATTACACTGTCATGGCCAACTCAACACACCGAGACAACACTCACACTACACTGACTTACACTGTCCTGGCCAACTAAACACACCTACACAACACTCACACTACACTGAATTACACTGTCCTGACCAACTCAACACACCCAGACAACACTCACACTACACTGAATTACACTGTCATGGCCAACTAAACACACCTAGACAACACTCACACTACACTGAATTACACTGTCCTGGCCAACTAAACACACCTAGACAACACTCACACTACACTGAATTACACTGTCCTGGCCAACTAAACACACCTAGACAACACTTACACTACACTGAATTACACTGTCACAGTGATTACATGCTGGAAGACAACACTCACACTACACTGAATTACACTGTCCTGACCCACTAAACACACCTAGACAACACTCACACTACACTGAATTACACTGTCCTGGCCAACTAAACACACCTAGACAACACTTACACTACACTGAATTACACTGTCCTGATCAACTAAAAACACCTAGACAACACTCACACTACACTGAATTACACTGTCACAGTTATTTCATGCTGAAAGACAACACTCACACTACACTGAATTACACTGTCCTGACCAACTAAACACACCTAGACAACACTCACACTACACTGAATTACACTGTCCTGGCCAACTAAACACACCTAGACAACACTCACACTACACTGAATTACACTGTCCTCACCACCTGAACACACCTAGACAACACTCACACTACACTGAATTACACTGTCCTGGGAAACTAAACACACCTAGATAACACTCACAATACACTGAATTACACTGTCCTGACAAACTAAACACACCTAGACAACACTCACACTACACTGAATTACACTGTCCTGGCCAACTAAACACACCTAGATAACACTCACACTACACTGAATTACACTGTCCTGACCAACTAAACACACCTAGACAACACTTACACTCCACTGAATTACACTGTCACAGTAATTACATGCTGGAAGATAACACTCACACTACACTGAATTACACTATCCTGGCAAAGTAAACACACCTAGACAACACTCACACTACACTGAATTACACTTTCCTGACCAACTGAACACACCTAGACAACACTCACACTACACTGAATTACACTGTCCTGACCAACTGAACACACCTAGACAACACTCACACTACACTGAATTACACTGTCACAGTTATTACATGCTGGAACACAACACTTACACTACACTGAATTACACTGTCACAGTGATTACATGCTGGAACACAATGCTCACACTCCACTGAATTACACTTTCCTGACCCACTAAACACACCTAGACAACACTCACACTACACTGAATTACACTGTCCTGGCCAACTAAACACACCTAGACAACACTCACACTACACTGAATTACACTGTCCTGACCAACTGAACACACCTAGACAACACTCACACTACACTGAATTACACTGTCCTGACCAACTAAACACACCTAGACAACACTCACACTACACTGAATTACACTGTCCTGACCAACTAAACACACCTAGACAACACTCACACTACACTGAATTACACTGTCCTGGCCAACTAAACACACCTAGACAACACTCACACTACACTGAATTACACTGTCCTGGCCAACTAAACACACCTAGACAACACTCACACTACACCGAATTACACTGTCCTGACCAACTAAACACACCTAGACAACACTCACACTACACCGAATTACACTGTCCTGACCAACTAAACACACCTAGACAACACTCACACTACACCGAATTACACTGTCCTGGCCAACTAAACACACCTAGACAACACTCACACTACACTGAATTACACTGTCCTGGCCAACTAAACACACCTAGACAACACTCACACTACACTGACTTACACTGTCCTGGCCAACTAAACACACCTACACAACACTCACACTACACTGACTTACACTGTCCTGACAACTGAACACTGTGAGGCAACACTCACACTATACTGAATTACACTGTCCTGACCAACTGAACACACCTAGACAACACTCACACTACACTGAATTACACTGTCCTCACCACCTGAACAC